CTTGCCAAGACCCTCACATTTACTTCTCTTACAACCCCATCTATAAATATATTAAACAACCACGGTGACATCACACATCCTTGTCTAAGGCCTATTTTTACTGGGAAAAAATTTCCCTTTTCCTACATACTCTAACTTGAGCCTCACTATCCTCGTAAAAACTCTTCACTGCTTTCAGTAACCTACCTCCTACACCATACACTTGCAACATCTGCCACATTGCCCCCCCTATCCACCCTGTCATACGCCTTTTCCAAATCCATAAATGCCCCCAAGACCTCTTTAGCCTTATCTAAATACTGTTCACTTATATGTTTCACTGTAAAACACCTGGTCCACACACCCCCTACCTTTCCTAAAGCCTCCTTTTTTCACTGCTATCCTTTTCTCCGTTTTACTCTTAATTCTTTCAATTATAACTCTACCATACACTTTACCAGGTACACTCAACAGACTTATCCCCCTATAAATTCTTGCACTCTTTTTTAATCCCCTTTGCCTTTATACAAAGGAACTATGCATGCTCTCTGCAACCCCTAGGTACCTTACCCTCTTCCATACATTTTTTAAAATTTAATTGAAACAACCACTCCAAAACATATCCCCACCTGTTTTTTAACTTTTCTATCTTTATCCCTCAATCCCGGCTGCCTTACCCCCTTTCATTTTACCTACTGGCCTCACGAACTTCCCCCACACTCACAACTGCTCTTCCTCACTCCTACAAGATGTTTATTCCTCCTTGCCCTAAACACGAAATCACAGCTTCCCTATCTTCATCAACATTTAACAATTCCTCAAAATATTCCTTCCATCTTCCCCAAACCTCTAACTCTCCATTTAATAACTCTCCTCTCCTATTTTAACTGACAAATCAATTTGTTCTCTAGGCTTTCTTAACTTGTTAATCTCACTCCAAAACTTTTTCTTTTTTTCAACAAAATTTGTTGATAACATCTCACCCACTCTCTCATTTGCTCTCTTTTTACATTGCTTCACCACTCTCTTAACCTCTCTCTTTTTCTCCATATACTCTTCCCTCCTTGCATCACTTCTACTTTGTAAAAACTTCTCATATGCTAACTTTTTCTCCCTTACTACTCTCTTTACATCATCATTCCACCAATCGCTCCTCTTCCCTCCTGCACCCACTTTCCTGTAACCACAAACTTCTGCTGAACACTCTAACACTACATTTTTAAAACCTACCCCATACCTCTTCGACCCCATTGCCTATGCTCTCATTAGCCCATCTATCCTCCAATAGCTGTTTATATCTTACCCTAACTGCCCTCCTCTTTTAGTTTATAAACCTTCACCTCTCTCTTCCCTGATGCTTCTATTCTCCTTGTATCCCATCTACCTTTACTCTCAGTGTAGCTACAACTAGAAAGTGATCTGATATATCTGTGGCCCCTCTATAAACATGTACATCCTGAAGTCTACTCAACAGTCTTTTATCTACCAATACATAATCCAACAAACTACTGTCATTTCGCCCTACATCATATCGTGTATACTTATTTATCCTCTTTTTCTTAAAATATGTATTACCTATAACTAAACCCCTTTCTATACAAAGTTCAATCAAAGGCTCCCATTATCATTTACACCTGGCACCCCAAACTTACCTACCACACCCTCTCTAAAAGTTTTCCTCCTACTTTAGCATTCAAGTCCCCTACCACAATTACTCTCTCACTTGGTTCAAAGGCTCCTATACATTCACTTAACATCTCCCAAAATCTCTCTCTCCCTCTGCATTCCTCTCTTCTTCCAGGTGCATACACGCTTATTATGACCCACTTCTCGCATCCAACCTTTACTTTAATCCACATAATTCTTGAATTTACACATTCATATTCTCTTTTCCTCCTCCTCCATAACTGATCATTTAACATTACTGCTACCCCTTCCTTTGCTCTAACTCTCTCAGATACTCCAGATTTAATCCCATTTATTTCCCCCCACTGAAACTCTCCTACCCCCTTCAGCTTTGTTTCGCTTAGGGCCAGGACATCCAACTTCTTTTCATTCATAACATCAGCAATCATCTGTTTCTTGTCATCCGCACTACATCCACGCACATTTAAGCAACCCAGTTTTATAAAGTTTTTCTTCTTCTCTTTTTTAGTAATTGTATACAGGAGAAGGGGTTACTAGCCCATTGCTCCCGGCATTTTAGTCGCCTCATACGACACGCATGGCTTACGGAGGAAAGATTCTTTTCCACTTCCCCTTGTATTAATAATAATACCTTGTAGATGAATGGTTCAGAGAACCGACATGTTGATAAATTAGACACGTGCAACTCTTGGGTATCTTTATTGAGGAAACGTTTCGCCACACAGTGGCTTCATTAGTCCATACGTAGGAGAAACTTGAAGAACAGGAGGAGAATGAGGTAATCAGTCCCTCAACCTTGAGTCGATGTGTTCAGTCCATCAATCTTGATGGACTGAACACATCGACTCAAGGTTGAGGGGCTGATTACCTCATTCTCCTCCTGTTCTTCACGTTTCTCCTTGGTATGGACTGATGAAGCCACTGTGTGGCGAAACGTTTCCTCAATAAAGATACCCAAGAGTTGCACATGTGTCTAATTTATCAATAATAATACTTGTAGAAACTGATAGTTATCTTTATTTCTACAAGTACTTGTACAAGGTATACAGCCCTAGCTGGCATCAATGATGTAGCTTGATTGTTAGCGCACTCAAGCTCACACACTGAGGTCTGGGGTTCATCTCCTCCGGTAGGGCTGGAAAACATTAGGGACGTATTTCCATAAGACACCTGCTGTCCCTGTCCCTGCTCACCCATCAGTTAAAAATGGGTACTTGGGTGTTAGTCGACTGGTGTAGGTCGCATCCTGGGACAAAACTGACCTAATTTGCCTGAAATGCTCAGCATAACAAGCGGCTTTCTATATAGTAGTGTGTCACTGATGTCAGCTAGGTCTGTATGCCATGTACATGTGCTTGTAGTAAATAAAGATATATAGAAAGGTGTTTGTTATGTAGAACATTTCGGGCAAATTAGGTCAGTTTTGTCCCAGGGTGTGCCCCACACCAGTCGACTAACTCCCAGGTTCCTATTTTACTGATGGAGAACACTGACAACCGTGTCAAGAAACACGACCAATGGTTCTACCCACGCTGGGAATCGAACCCAGACCCTCGCCGTGTGAAGCGAGAGCTTTAGCCACCAGGTCCAGAAGTTTAACACTGATAAATATAATATTCATTTAATAGCTGTAGTTATCTGACCCCTCAAGGAAGGTTCCTTGATGTTGGTGAGGGGCTCTTGATTTAGGGAATTGGATCTGTGCTCCAGTTCCCCGAATTAACCCCTCAAGGAAGGTTCCTTGATGTTGGTGAGGGGCTCTTGATTTAGGGAATTGGATCTGTGCTCCAGTTCCCTGTCCCCTCAAGGAAGGTTCCTTGATGTTGGTGAGGGGCTCTTGATTTAGGGAATTGGATCTGTGCTCCAGTTCCCCAAATTAAGCCTGAATGCCTTCCACATCCCCCCCCCCAGGCGCTGTATAATCCTCCGGGTTTAGCGCTTCCCCCTTGATTGTAATAATAATAATCCAGTTCCCTGAATTAAGCCTGAATGCCTTCCACATCCCCCCCCAGGCGCTGTATAATCCTCCGGGTTTAGCGCTTCCCCTTTATAATAATAATAATGTAGTTATCTGAAGTACTCAAATTACACTTCGCAAATGCCCAATCAGTATATATAAAATTATGAGTATTATTATTATAATTATGGGGAGCGCTAAACCCGTAGGATTATACAGCGCATGTAGGGGGATGGAAGGTATTCAGCTCAATTCAGGGAACTGGAGCACAGATCCAATTCCCTAGATCAAGAGCCCCTCCCTAGCGTCAAGGAACCTTCCTTGAGGGGAAAATTATGAGTAATTCATTGTGGACGTGGAATAAGGTTTAGATTTTCATTTTTTTTTATTATACCAGTTAGATACAGTGTATTGTGAAAACACCTTTATCTATAACATTTCGAAGTTTGGAAGAGTAGGAAGTAGAATATAATCAACTAAGAATATTATTATAATCAAAAAGAAGCGCTAAACCACAAGGACTATACAGCAATCAACTAAGAAATGATAAATGCACGAAAATCAAGGAGAGCTGGATGCCACTGAAATGTCCAAGATAAAATTCCGCCGCTTCTGTGTATGGATGCCTCTTCAGTGATGGTGCCAAATTTTTCTTAATTTGTTAAGACACTTTTACTGCCTTGCTGGCTTTGTATATTGATGGAAGTGCTAAACAATTTATTTAGCATGCAGTGTTAGCTGTATGACCCTAGTGGGTTTAGCGCTTCTTTTTTTTTATTTTGATAATGTGCGGTTTTAAGTATTATTATTATTATTATTATTATTATTATTATTATTATAATCAAGGGGGAAGCGCTAAACCCGGGGATTATACAACGCCTGGGGGGGGGAAATGTGGAAGGCATTCAGGCTTAATTCGGGGAACTGGAGCACAGATCCAATTCCCTAAATCAAGAGCCCCTCACCAACATCAAGGAACCTTCCTTGAGGGGAGGTTTTAAGTAGAAGTCGGTTACACACTCGAGCTACGGATAAGTTTTTATTCAGGTCCAACACAAGTTTAAATTTTTACTCATTTATTTTCGCAGAAAGCAACCTAGGATAACAGAATAGGATTTAAGGACCAACTGGACACATTCTTCCTCTTCTTGCATAAAACTGACTGCCTCTCCCATGAATATAATTGCGAGAATAAGTACATAAGTTTATTTAGACATAGATACACATAAGTACAACTATCATACATTGTGTAAATTACGTAGGTCACCTAAAAAAAAAAAAAGTCGAAATGACTTACAACCAATTTATAACTCGAGGCTTTTTTGTTTAAGTCACCACCATTATAAAATAATATTTGCCAACCTATTTTCACGGTAAATAAAGATTTATATATATATTTAGGTATAAAAGTGTAATTAATGATGTGTGCAGCAAGAAGGACGTCGTCTGCAGCCTGACTAACATGGCTCTTCCTCCAACACTACTCACAAGGCTGCTAATATTAAGACAGACGCTTCCTACAACCTTATTGTACAACCTGCGAGCTGCAGCCTCTTCGTCAAGAAGATATGCTGCAGGTAAGCCATTTTGTCTTTGCTATGAGGTATATATTAACAATGATAAACGAGGGAGGTGATAGCATCGTTGTGGTTCAGATTGTGCTTCATGGGAGGCCACTCAAGGGAGGTTCCTTGATGCTGGTGAGGGGCTCTTGATCTAGGGAACTGGATCTATGCTCCAGTTCCCTGAATTAACCCTGAATACCTTCCATCCCCCCCCCCCACGGGCGCTATATAATCCTACGAGTTTAGCGCTTCCCCCTTGATTATAATAATAACTTCATGGGATATATACCGTATATGTTAGTTTATTTAGGTGCAGGTATATACGTGCGCAATTATCTTACATAGTGTAAATTACCTAGCATAACCCTCCCCCCCCCGAAAAAGGCAGTGACATTTCCATTGGGGACCTTGATGGTCTGTGGGGGTTTTATTTCTCACAGCATTTATGTGCTGAGAATTTACTTAAATTTCTGTTTTAGGGATTAAAAATATTCTTGTCTGGTGGTGAAAAGGGTTACCATGCAGCATTAATAGCCCCTAGTGTAGTCGATAGGGTTTAAACCCCATTAACCACTAATGGGGTTTAAATCCTGGTAGCTTTGCCTACCAGGCCAGGGTGGCCCGTGGCCTGGTAGGTAACGCTCTCGCTTCACACACTGTCTGTGATTCAATCTCCGGCAAGGGTGGAAATATTGGGCATGTTTCCTTACACCTGTTGTCCCGTTCACTTAGCAAGCAAGTAGGTACCTGTGTATTAGTCAACTGGTGTGGGTCGCATCCTGGGGTACAAGATTGAAGACCCTAATGGAAGTAAGACAGACAGTCCTCAATGACGTACTGCCTTTCTTGGGTTATCCTGGGTGGCTAACCCTCCAGCGTTAAAAATCCAAACAAAATCATGTCTCATCTTCAAGACAGGTGAAAGGCTCTTGATCCAGGGAATTGAAGCTTCCTTACACTTCCTTGGATCAGACCTAAATGCCTCCTATTCCTCTTCGTAGGCATAGATACCTGGGAGTTAGTTGAGTTGTGGGCTGCCTCTAGGAGGAACACCTAAAAAGGACCCCAGTGGAATTAATTTGTATTGATTGGCATTACTGGGTTATTCCAGAGTATTTCTGGCAAATTAGACCAATTTTGTCCCAGGATATGACCCACACCAGTTGACTAACACCCAGGTACTCATTTTACTGATGGGTGAACACGTATAGCAGGTGTCTCATGGAAACATGTCTTAATGTTTTCCAGCCATACCGGGGATTTACCGCAGGACCTCAATGTGGGAGCTGAGTGTGCTAGCAATTGAGCTACCTGGGTGTTAGTGGAATGATGTGGGTTGCATATTGGGGGGACAAGATTGAAGGACCCCAGTGGAAATAAGACACAGTTCTTGATATTGATAATGCACCGACTTTCTTGGGTTACCCTGGGTGGCTAACCCTCCAGGGTTAAAAATTCGAACAAAATATCTCTCGTCACAGTAATATTGTACGTACTTGGGCTGATGTTTGAGTTTTGTTTAGCATTGCTATTACTTATTTTATTCTGTATGCCCTGACTTTATATATGTATATTATATTTAAATGATTAATTTTTGGGGTGTAATGCCTGTGTGGTCTCACTGACATTACCAGGATGCCAGTCATTTAGATAAGTTTTATATTTTCCTACTAGCAAAGAGTTTTTGTCATGTGTAAATTTAGTAGCACTATTGGCAACATTAACTTAACATAATCTAAACTAAATCTAAATTTTGTTGGATAGCTCAAGGCTGCTAATTAACAAGTCTCAGAACCTGTTGCAGGCAACAGATTTACTGATGTTGGTAATTTGAAAAGCCGGTGATCATGCCACACCTTTGTGACACTGCTGTTAAGGACCCCAAAGGAAACGATGATAATAGATGACTGCTCCCTGTTGCATTTCATCCATTAATTATAGTTTTGTTTTATAATTGAGATATTTTGTTGCACAAATAGTAAAAAAAAAAGTATCCAAACCTAATGAAACCCACCTAACCAGACCTAAAATAGCCTAACGTAACCTAACCTTACCCCACCATAGGTATATATGCATTTGTGCATCTGTTTACATTTGGTCAGACTTATGACAACTAATTAATAAGTGTTCATTAGACCAGATATGCTGTGCAACCAAAGTGAATGTACAATTTTACTATCTTCCAAAATAACAATTTGTGCAATGAATACTTGTACATTATATTTGGAGTATGACATAGCCAAATAATAACTAAAAATACACAGCAAAAGGCTTATCAACTATTCATATGGTCATTGAAGTTCTGTTTAACCTATTCATCACTGTCAAGACTAGTCCACTCCCAAACTAGGGACTAAAGTAAATTTTAGCATATGAATGCTGAGAGATACAGATCTATATGTGTATATATTTGTCAACATTTCACCTGTGTACTTTATAAATCTTCATTTAGTAATAGTAGAAATGTGCAATATTATCCTTCAAATGTTCTTTATGCTGATTTATTGTGACTTATGGATCGCTGCAAATGCTTGGCTATCGGTTACTGTCACATTTAGTCTGTGACATTATGTGAACACTGTGTGTGTGTGTTTGCATAGTAATAAAATGAATTTCAATGCAGGTCAATATGGATGCAGAATTGCTGCATGCCGAAGCATCCACACCGCTTCCCGATTACTTCAGGAAGCAGCCAAGACCAGTGAACCTGATGCATACGAGTTCCAGGCTGAGACTCGCATGCTTTTGGATATTGTAGCAAAGTCCCTCTACTCTGAGAAGGAAGTGTTTGTCAGAGAGCTGATATCCAATGCTTCAGATGCTATTGAGAAGGTAAGAAATTTCTCAGGATTTTTTTATCACAATTATGCAGCAATTGTTTTCTTAGTGCCATATTTAGATGCTACAGCACTTTATGATAGAGCCATAGACGTCAATAATTTTTAGTTATACTGTAGTAAACAGGGATCACTTGATATGCCATAAGCCTAGATAGTATTGTGGTGATTAATCATCAAGTTGGGGTAGGAAGCCACTTTTATCAGTTGAATTAGCTTGGACAGGATAAACTTCATGGTTGTATTTATGTGACCTGTGCTGGCAAGTCATTGGCTGATGTGTGTGTGTGTTATGTGATTGTGTTCTTTTGCATATTTGGTAATTTTTATATATAGAAGATTTTACACAAATAACCTGCACATAGAAGAGAGGAGCTCACAACAATGTTTGTTATTTATAGAAGATTTTGCTATTGCTTGTGCAGGCTCTTGTCATTCTAGCCACACTGTTGAAAAATTGTTAAGTTAGGTAGATTGTCCTAGATCAGTAAATAAGATGAAAGTTATTGGCATATAACTACTGCAGTTAATAATGTATTTTACTTTGTGACATACAGTATAAAAACAAATATACAGTGGTACCTTGGGATAAGAAATTAATTCATTCCAGAAGGCTGTTTAAAGTGCCGATACCGAACGAATTTGTTCCCATGAGGAATAATGTAAATTAGATTAATCTGTTTCGGACCCCCAAAAATACACTTACAAAAGCACTTACATAATTGTTCGAGATTTGAGCTGTTCGTATCCCGAGGTACCCCTGTACTGTACTTTAGGATTTGATAACATACTTTAAATCTTATGTTGAAATAATACACTTTGTTCATGTCAGTAGCCCAAACTGAACTTCTTTCAACAAACCGGTTGTATCCCACTGAGGCATTGTGGCCCAAAAAGAAAAACAAAAGTTTCTCTTTTTAACCTTAGTAATGTATACAGGAGAAGGGGTTACTAGCCCCTTGCTCCTGGGATGTTTGTTGCCTCTTACAACACACATGGCTGACAGAGGAAGAATTCTGTTCTACTTCCCCATGGAGATAAGAGGAAATAAACAAGAACAAGAACTAGTAAGAAAATAGAAGAAAACCCAGAGGGGTGTGTGTATATATATGCTTGTACATGCAAGTGTAGTGTAACCTAATTAGAAGTAGCAAGCCATACCTGAAATCTTGCATGTTTATGAGACAGAAAAAAGACACCAGCAATCCTACCATCATGTAAAACAATTACAGGCTTCTGTTTTACACTCACTTGGCAGGACTGTAGTACCCCCTGAGCAGTTGTTGTTTACCAACCTACTACCTACTAAACTGAATTTGTCTTCTGAAAATTGAAATGTGTAACTGAAGAGAGAATCAAGTTTTATATTAAAAATGCAAATACACTACATGTCTCTTTCATAAACAGGCCCGCTATTTTGCCCTGCAAGGAAGAGAACTAGATTCCTCCGAGGCTGACATGAAAATCCACATCACCACAGACAAGTATGATAAAACACTAATCATTCAAGATTCTGGTATTGGTATGACCAAAGAAGAACTGATAGACAATTTGGGTACCATTGCCCGCTCAGGCTCAAAGGTGAGATGCCCATGGTTGTGTTCTTAGTAATAGTGTGGTTGTGCTTTGTTTATTTACATATGCTTTATGTATAAAGCTTAGGAGCTATTGCTTTTTATAATAACTATGAGGTAAAGGTAAAAGCCTGAAGTTTACTATACACTTGTATCAGTTGCAAATGTGAGATCATGGAAATCATTGATTTGAAATAAGTAAAGCAAGTATTTATATACTTAAAAGGTATACAGTTGGAAATACACATAGTGAGGGAGGTTAGGGGCAGATGTTCAGGTAACAAATGAAGTTATAATGAGCAGAATACCAGACTAAATTTTGATATGCCATGGCTCGACCTTATTTAATTTATCTGCATGTTACAGGTTATTCAATATTCTTTCATGTCAGTTTATTAAAAAATAAGAGTAATAGTACAGTACAACAAGGGAGCTGGTACACTTGACATCATTATATCTAAAAATTTATAGACCCTTAATTTTAAGTTTTATTTACCAAAGATTTTTATTTTTCTAAAAACTAGGATAGTTATTCATACCAAGAAAGTGGCCACCTTCTTGGGATGAAAAGGTAATTACAATAAGTGGTTATTTCAGAGTTATTAAAATACAGCTTATTTGAATTATTTTTGTAGGCCTTCATTCAGCAACTACAGGAAGGTGGCACTGCAGATCCACAGAGTATTATTGGCCAGTTTGGTGTTGGCTTTTATTCTGCTTTTATGGTCGCAGAACGAGTTGATGTCTACACAAAGTCGCGTTTACCTGGTAGCATTGGATATTGCTGGTCATCAGATGGGTAAGTATTGACATAGTATGACCTTGTTGTATAGACATGGTGTTACGGCCCCCTGCCAAACTAGCGGTTAAATAGTTAACCTGCCGGCCGGCAGTACCATTGGGTACGTCATCAAACCCATTGTGGGGACTGCTGAGCTGGCCTTAGAGCATTATGTACCTGAACACCTCACGGTACACATCTACTGGCTTTAGAAGCATTAAGTACCTGAACACCTCACGGTATGCATCTAAGCATTAGGTACCTGAACACCTAATGGTACACATCTACTGGCCTTAGAAGCAGTAGGTACCTGAACACCTAATGGTACACATCTACTGGCAGTAGAGTATTCTACTGGCTTCTACTGATTTTAGAAGAAGCACTCACCGCAGCTCACTGAGTCTGTTGGCCTCAGTTATTTGACGGCCGCATTCAGTGAGCTTGCAACATAGTGTGTGCTGCATCGGACCACCTTGCGGTGTGTCAACTGGTCTTGAAGGCGGTAGATAGTACTCACCAGACCATCTTACGGTGTACTTCTACCGGCCTTAGAGAGTATTTACAGGACTACCGGTGATGTCTGCAGACTCACCGCCTACGCTGGTCAACTGTGGGCTGGAGTCATCGGATGCTGTTTAGTGGGACATTACATGAAGAAAAGGTTGGAGTGTTACACTGAACTGGGCTAGGACCGTAGTGTGACACTTAAGCAAGTATGATGGAGTGGAACACTGAGATATGCTACAGGACCGTAGTGGAACACTGAGAAGAAAAGGGTGTCGTGTGACACTGAAGATGGCCTGGTTGTAGTGTACTTTGAATAGTGTCATGTGACTGGCCTCGACAAAGACGCTATGCGGGTAGTGTGACGCAGAGACAAGGGTGTCAAGTGTGACACGGTTGCGAAAGTGTGTATTACACGGAGAAAAGGGTGTCAAGTGACACGGTGGAGAAAGAGCGTCACAACTCGGATAAGTGTCGTGAGAAATGCAGTTGATTGTAATTTATTATTTTAAATGTTATTTAATTTATTATTTTAGCATAGATATATAGTGACACAGGAGTATCAAGAGAGTTGTACCCTGTGTAGGGTCACGAATTATTATTTATTATTTTAGTAAAATGCTAATCATAATTTATTATTGTAACATGTATATATATTTTAAATACCTCCTAGACCAAAGATTGATTTTTATATTAAAGATTAATTTATTTTAATGTGTATTTATGTATCCCGAACTTTTATATTACTAACACCTAATGTAAAAAACCAATTGGTGTTTTTGTAATACATGGCTTCTATTAAATAACCACATTTCAAGCAGGGAGGGGGTAAAGGAGGTTTTGTGAGCGAGGGACTTGGACTTTCAGCAAGCATGCATGAGCGTGCTAGGAGTAAATGGAGACGAATGGTTTTTGGGACCTGATGAGCTGTTGGAGTGTGAGCAGGGTAATATTTTGTGAAGAGATTCAGGAAAACCGGTTAGCTAGACTTGAGTCTTGGAAATGGGAAGTACAATGCCTGCACTTCAAGAGGGGTTTGAGATATTGGCAGTTTGGAGGGACATCTAAGCTGTTGTATCAGCACCTCTGCAAAGACAGTGATTATATACAAGTGATGGTGAAAGTGTTGAATCATGTTGAAAGTTTTTTCTTTCTTGGGTTTTTCTTTCTTTTTGGGTCACCCTGCCTCGGTGGGAAATGGTTGATGTGTTAAAAAAAAATTCAAGTATATAGCAGCAATGACAAATTAGTGATTTTTTTACACCAACCATCGTCTACTGAGGTAGTTTGACCCAAAAAAGGAAAAAACTTTCACCATTATTCACTCTATCACCATGTTGCCAAAAGTGCATTGACATTACAGCTCAGATGACCCTCTAAACTGCAATATCCCCACACCCTCCTTCAGAGTACAGTCACTGTATGTCCCACCCTCGGGACTCAAGTCTGGCTAACCGGTTTCCCTGAATTCCTTCATAAGTGTTACCATGCGCACACTCCAACAGCACGTCATGTCATAAGAACCACTCTTCTCCACTCTCATACACCTGTTGGATGTCCAAGCCCCTCGCATACAAAACCTTTTCCCCTTCCCTCTAACCTTTCCTAGGATAATCCCTCCTTTCCTTTATTACAGATTTATACTCTCTCTAAGTCATCCTATTTTGTTCCATCCTCTCTAAATAACCTAACCACCTTAATAACCCCTCCTCAACCCTCTGGATGATAGTACTTTTAGTAACACTTGCACTTTCTTATCTCCAAAGCATGAATTCTCTGCATAATATTCACATTGCATATTGCTCTCAGACATAACAGTTCCACTGTGTTCCTCGTCCTTGCTGCAAAGTTTAAAACCTATGCTTACTCTATATAAGGATGTTGGTATTGCTATACAGTGGACCCTTGGATAAAGGTGGCATCGGCTAATGGCAAAATCGGATAGCAGCACGTTTTTGCAGCAAAATATTGGCTCGGCTAACGCCCAAGAACTCTATTAAAGGCATTCGTCCCGAACGTGTCCGTGCAGCCTGAGCCCTCCATGGCCGCCTGTCCACTCCATGTACAGGTAGTGTGCCATTGTTTACAAGCCAGTGAGGACAATTCCACACATACATGCGATATATTTTGCATTATTCCATTGTTTTTAGTGCTTGTAACTGCTAAATAAACCACCATGGTGTACGTTAAGAAGTATCTTCCATCATACATTGCCTAAGTTTCAATAAGATAACCCAACAAACAACTGAGAAAATAATATAATAATAATTATAATATAATTAATATAATAAATAATAATAATAATAATAATAATAATAATAATAAATAATAATTAATAATAATAATAATAATAATAATAATAATAATAATAATAATAAAGTAGGTAGTAGGTTGGTAGACAGCAACCACCCAGGGAGGTACTACCGTCCTGCCAAGTGAGTGTAAAACGAAAGCCTGTAATTGTTTTACATGATGGTAGGATTGCTGGTGTCTTTTGTCTGTCTCATAAATATGCAAGATTACAGGTACGTCTTGCTACTTCTACTTACACTTAGGTCACACTACACATACATGTACACGTTTATTTATACACACTCATCTGAGTTTTCTTTGATTTTATCTTAATAGTTCTTGGTCTTATTACTTTTCCTTTTATATCCATGGGGAAGTGGAATAAGAATCTTTCCTCCGTAAGCCATGCGTGTTGTAAAAGTCAACTAAAATGCCGGGAACAATGGGCTAGTAACCCCTTTTCCTGTAAAGATTACTAAAAAGAATAAGAAGAAGAAAATTGTCAAAGTGGGAAGTCTGAATGTGCGTGGATGTTGTGCAAATGATAAGAAAGAGATGATTGTGGATGTTATGAATGAGAAGAAACTGGATGTCCTGGCTTTAAGTGAAACAAAGCTGAAGGGGGTGGGAGAGTTTCAATGGAGAGGAATAAATGGGATTAGGTCAGGGGTTTCAAATAGAGTTAGAGCTAAAGAAGGAGTAGCAATAATGTTGAAGGATAAGCTATGGCAGGAAAAGAGGGACTACAAATGTATAAATTCAAGGATTATGTGGAGTAAAATAAAGATTGGATGTGAAAAGTGGGTTATAGTAAGCGTGTATGCACCTGGAGAAGAGAGAAGTGTAGAGGAGAGAGAGAGATTCTGGGAAATGTTGAGTGAATGCGTGGGGAGTTTTGAATCAAGTGTGAGAGTAATGGTGGTTGGGGATTTCAATGCTAAAGTGGGTAAAAATGTTATGGAGGGAGTAGTAGGTAATTTTGGGGTGCCAGGGGTAAATGTAAATAGGAGCCTTTAATTGAGCTATGTGTAGAAAGAAATTTGGTAATAAGTAATACATATTTTATGAAAAAGAGGATAAATAAATATACAAGGTATGATGTAGCACGTAATGAAAGTAGTTTGTTAGATTATGTATTGGTGGATAAAAGGTTGATGGGTAGGCTCCAGGATGTACATGTTTATAGAGGGGCAAATGATATATCGGATCATTATTTAGTTGTAGCTACAGTTAGAGTAAGAGGTAGATGGGAAAAGAGGAAGGTGGCAACAACAAGTAAGAGGGAGGTGAAAGTGTATAAACTAAGGGAGGAGGAAGTTCGGGCGAGATATAAGCGACTATTGGCAGAAAGGTGGGCTAGTGCAAAGATGAGTAGTGGGGGGTTGAAGAGGGTTGGAATAGTTTTAAAAATGCAGTATTAGAATGTGGGGCAGAAGTTTGTGGTTATAGGAGGGTGGGGGCAGGAGGAAAGAGGAGTGATTGGTGGAATGATGAAGTAAAGGGTGTGATAAAAGAGAAAAAGGTAGCTTACAAGAGGTTTTTACAAAGCAGAAGTGTTATAAGAAGAGCAGAGTATATGGAGAGTAAAAGAAAGGTGAAGAGAGTGGTGAGAGAGTGCAAAAGGAGAGCAGATGAAAGAGTGGGAGAGGCACTGTCAAGAAATTTTTATGAAAATAAGAAAAAATTTTGGAGTGAGTTAAACAAGTTAAGAAAGCCTAGGGAAAGTATGGATTTGTCAGTTAAAAACAGAGTAGGGGAGTTAGTAGATGGGGAGAGGGAGGTATTAGGTAGATGGCGAGAATATTTTGAGGAACTTTTAAATGTTAAGGAAGAAAGGGAGGCGGTAATTTCATGCACTGGCCAGGGAGGTATACCATCTTTTAGGAGTGAAGAAGAGCAGAATGTAAGTGTGGTGGAGGTACGTGAGGCATTACGTAGAATGAAAGGGGGTAAAGCAGCTGGAACTGATGGGATCATGACAGAAATGTTAAAAGCAGGGGGGGATATAGTGTTGGAGTGGTTGGTACTTTTGTTTAATAAATGTATGAAAGAGGGGAAGGTACCTAGGGATTGGCGGAGAGCATGTATAGTCCCTTTATATAAAGGGAAAGGGGACAAAAGAGATTGTAAAAATTATAGAGGAATAGTTTACTGAGTATACCAGGAAAAGTATACGGTAGGGTTATAATTGAAAGAATTAGAGGTAAGACAGAATGTAGAATTGCGGACGAGCAAGGAGGCTTCAGAGTGGGTAGGGGATGTGTAGATCAAGTGTTTACATTGAAACATATATGTGAACAGTATTTAGATAAAGGTAGGGAAGTTTTTATTGCATTTATGGATTTAGAAAAGGCATATGATAGAGTGGATAGAGGAGCAATGTGGCAGATGTTGCAAGTATATGGAATGGGTGGTAAGTTACTAAATGCTGTAAAGAGCTTTTATGAGGATAGTGAGGCTCAGGTTAGGGTGTGTAGAAGAGAGGGAGAATACTTCCCGGTTTAAAAGTAGGTCTTAGACAGGATGTGTAATGTCACCATGGTTGTTTAATTATTTATAGATGGGGTTGTAAAAGAAGTAAATGCTAGGGTGTTCAGGAGAGGGGTGGGATTAAATTATGGGGAATCAAATTCAAAATGGGAATTGACACAATTACTTTTTGCTGATGTTTACTGTGCTTATGGGAGATTCTAAAGAAAAATTACAAAGGTTAGTGGATGAGTTTGAGAATGTGTGTAAAGGTAGAAAGTTGAAAGTGAACATAGAAAAGAGTAAGGTGATGAGGGTATCAAATGATTTAGATAAAGAAAAATTGGATATAAAATTTGGGGGAGGAGGAGTATGGAAGAAGTGAATGTTTTCAGATACTTGGGAGTTTGACGTGTCGGCGGATGGATTTATAAAGGATGAGGTTAATCATAGAATTGATGAGGGAAAAAAGGTGAGTGGTGCGTTGAGGTATATGTGGAGTCAAAAAACGTTATCTATGGAGGCAAAGAAGGGAATGTATGAAAGTATAGTAGTACCAACACTCTTATATGGATGTGAAGCTTGGGTGGTAAATGCAGCAGCGAGGAGACGGTTGGAGGCAGTGGAGGTGTCCTGTCTAAGGCAATGTGTGGTGTAAATATTATGCAGAAAATTCGGAGTGTGGAAATTAGGAGAAGGTGTGGAGTTAATAAAAGCATTAGTCAGAGGGCAGAAGAGGGGTTGTTGAGGTGGTTTGGTCATTTAGAGAGAATGGATCAAAGTAGAATGACATGGAAAGCATATAAATCTATAGGGAAGGAAGAGGGGTAGGGGTCGTCCTCGAAAGGGTTGGAAAGAGGGGGTAAAGGAGGTTTTGTGGGGGGAGGGGCTTGGACTTCCAGCAAGCGTGCGTGAGCGTGTTAGATAGGAGTGAATGGAGACGAATGATACTTGGGACCTGACGATCTGTTGGAGTGTGAGCAGGGTAATATTTAGTGAAGGGATTCAGGGAAACCGGTTATTTTCATATAGTCGGACTTGAGTCCTGGAAATGGGAAGTACAATGCCTGCACTTTAAAGGAGGGGTTTGGGATATTGGCAGTTTGGAGGGATATGTTGTGTATCTCTATACATATATGCTTCTAAACTGTTGTATTCTGAGCACCTCTGCAAAAGCAGTGATAATGTGTGAGTGTGGTGAAAGTGTTGAATGATGATGAAAGTATTTTCTTTTTGGGGATTTTCTTTTTTTTTTTTTTTTTTGGGTCACCCTGCCTCGGTGGGAGACGGCCGACTTGTTGAAAAAAAAAAAAAAAAATAATAATAATAATATCTTTATTTACTACACGTACATGTACATGGTATACAGGCCGAGCTGACATCAGTGACATACTACTGTATAGAAAGCTGCTTGTTATGCAGAGTATTTCAAGAAAATTAGGTCAGTGTCCCAGAATAACACCCACACTAGTCGGCTAACACCCAGGTACCAATTTACTGATGGGTAAACATAGACAACAGGTGTAAAGAAACACGCTTAATGTTTCTACCCTGGCTGGGAATCAAATATTTACCAAAAATCATATATGGCTAATCCAAGCCAGGTACTAGAAATAAGCCACGTTGATTTTTTTGGGTTATCCTAGGTTCTCTACACACATGCTGCTATGTGTGATAATCTATATAGAGAAAAAAACTTTTTTGTTTCAGGTTTATGGTGCAGTACAAGTGTATATCACAGTTAGCCCTGTGCTATACTCTGTTTTCTCAAATATAAGCCCCCAAGACAGGGATAGGAGAATGATATTTGTATACCATATCCTGTTCATACCTCTGTCAAACTGCTCGGTATTATGCCAAATGTTATTTATTCTGGAGTATTTAACATGTTTTATGTTATTTATATTGTTTATTATGTCATATTAGATCAATTGTGATAGGCAAATAAGCTGTAGTGTTGATATTAGCGTAATAATAAAGCATATTCTCCTGCTTCATGACTGAGCTCATGGCATCCGACAGTGGCTTCAAAGCCACCTTATCTTTAATGGATAATGTACTATGTCGGTGCTTTACATAATGAGAAGCATTTCTTTTATTCATTGGAACCATGGCTAGGGCTAAAAGTAAGCAGGTTATAACAGTAAATGGAGAAAAAGAAATTGGAATGACTTATGCAGCAAGTAGTGCCACCAAACAGTACCAGCAGGTTGGTGTGCCAACCCTGGAAATTATGCTAGCCAAAATTAGTGCCGAATAACTGAAGGAACCGAATAACTGATTGCCGGATTTGTGATGGCGGACCTGTACTCTCTTTGTTTTGACTTGAGGCATGACCTTTAAATTAAAAAGTGAAAAACCATTTCAGGATTTAATGTAAATTATGCTCCTTGGATATCCCACCCCAAAATCTCTCATCCTTTATGGATATGCTTTTTGTGATTGTCAATTTTAATTAAGTTAAAGTAAATTTATTATACCATTTATTGTACTATTAAAGTGTTCATACTGTAGAGCTCCATCTTAGTAATGAGATGCAAATATTATTCCTTGTCTAATATAATTAATTTTTAAACAGTTAAATTAATAACAAATTGTGGCACTCAGGACAAGACTTCTTTCACTTATTCCCTCTCCTTTTCTCTGCCTCCCTCCCATTTTATAATGCTCCCTTTCTCTTCCCCCCCCTCCTCCTCTCTCAGGTTCCTTGACAATGGTGAGGGACTCTTGATCTAAGTAATTGGAACAGTGATTCAATTCTTTGAATTGAATACCTTTTATTGTCTCAGATGCTGTATGACAGCTTTGGGCTTAAGTGTTCTCTCCTGTTTGCTCCCAAATCATATCTAATACAAGACTCTGTATGCTTTCCACTCCCTTACTGTTGTGGTTCAGTGTGGTGTTGGAAGAATGTAGTAAATCATGTAGAGATGGGCAGCAACTGGACTGTCTGCCTCTCATTTTCACTCTCTTATTGACACACCCGCTCTTGCATATCTAATGCAAGATTCATTACATATGCTTACCAGTCTGCACTGTTATGGTTGTGTGGTGTAGGAGGAATATGGTGTCAGATGTGTAGGGGCAGGCCACAGCTTTACTGCCTCTCTCATTTTCACTCCCACCCTCTCCTTCATTGTACATAAAGCAAGACTCTTACATATCACTACTACTTGACTGGTATAGTGAGGGTATTAGGTGCGTGAGTATATAGGGAGGTGAAGGTAATTTTGTGTTGCTCCCGTTGTCCCACATCTCGACTAATGATGTGTTCAGTACATAGGCAACAGTAGCAGCTACCACAGTGCAACAGAACAACATTTATTTAATGTATAGTTCTTAGCCAGGCTTTACCAAAGAAATTAATTCTCCAATTATGCATAAAAAAAGAACACACGAACTTCAAATGCATTTGGTAAAAGATTAACTGAGGAAAAAATTATATTTATAATCCAGCCATACGAAATCTTTAAACCTCTTCAGTTCTTGATCATTTTCTCTTCCAAACAAATGTAAGTTCTCCATACATGTATAAAATATAGAAGTTTGAATGCATTTGGTAAAAAATAACTGATAAATAATTTAAAATAAATTTTATTTAATGTTTGCACTAATCATAACTCCAACCAGCAGTCATAAAATATTAATTAATTAGGGAGTACCCTGTTCATAAGTAAGCCAGGACCCTACTGCAGTTGTGTGCTATAAAATTATAATTTTCTTGCAGGTATTCTCTCAGCACAGGAGCAGGTGGAGAAAGAAGAGATTGCCAAGCTAATTATGTATGATTCTTCGGCAAAACCTGCAGGGGAGAAGGTTACACTTCCAGAATACATTGGCCGCATGGCTGATAACCAGAAAGATATTTATTACCTAGCAGCTCCTTCAAGGGAATTGGCAGAGACCTCTCCATATTTTGAGGCGCTCAAGGTATTGTACAGTATTTAAATTTCGTTACTCTTGCTACTATCGTATTTTAGTTTTTTTATTGTAATATTTTGATAAATTTGCACTCAAAAAAAAAAAATGACAGTAAAACTGATTATTTTCATTTTACACTTAAATAAAATGCAATTACTGAATTTTTATTATAAAGAAAATATTGGAATTTACTAATGATTACAGTAAAACCTTGATTTAACAGACCTGTTTAATGGATTTCAGAAATTAATGACAAAGTCTATTGGGTAAAGAAGTAGCGAGTCATTATTTGCTCTCCATTTTCCGATGGATTTTCTGTTTATCTTTAGCATCACATTATTGGCTATTAGGTGAGGTTTTTGAACAAGTATGCCCAGAGTAATACTCCCTCATCTTATGAGCGCAAACAAAGAAAATTTTGAGAAAAATGTTCGGAATGTTGAAAAGAGTACCCTGAGATATCACTTCATTTTGCTATTGATGGGTTGAAGGGTTACATGGGTGCAACAGTCACTAGACTGGTTGGAGGTTCAGAGGACAACAATTATTCATGTATATAAATAATGTACAATAATATTGAATTTACAGCAAGGAATTATCAGTTAAGTGAAAGAAGAAAGAAGTAAAAATAATTAGTTTGTATTTTATTTCTAACAAAACACCTTTGGTATTACACAATAATACTTACTATAGACAGAGAGTAGCAAAAAAAAAAAAAAAAAAAACACAGGCATGACAGATATACAAAAACACTGAAAAATAATGTAAAAATAATGAGTCAAAGAAACACTGATTCTACACTGAAAACACAAGGCTTAGAGTACACAAGAAATTCACTGTAAATGTCTCACACACGCAAATGTCTTTAAATGCAGGAAAATGTCTCTAAACAGAAAATTATCACTGAAGTCTGGAGTGGTAGACGGGATGACGAGTGATGACGCCTCCTACACTCGCACTGTTGTCGAAGAAATGCGCTTTCTAGGTGAACTCACATAACTGGCTTTATCGTTGGCGCCCAGCTACAATCTCTTGACCAATTATGTGAGCCAAAACAGTACTAGGGCCCGGTACAAGGGTGGAAAAAGCCACAGGTAGATGAGGTGGGGAGTGGGTGGGTGAAGGGAGCGTGACTCACTCGCTGGCGCTCACTGGCGCACAGTCTCACCACTTACAGGTGGCTTAAAACTAAGCCACTCTATGCCACAGGGATGGTGAAGACCACTCTTAGCATCCAACTGGGAGCACAAAGCGATATATGAGACAATACTTCAGAGGAACTTGCGTGGCTTACTTCTCTCTCTCAGCTGGGTTGGCTGACTGGCTTAACCCACGAGAATGGCTGACTGGAAGACATGTAACGATGCACACAGCATGAAGGAGCAGGTGGATGACAGGAGACAGGCTGGATGGTAGGCTGAGGCAGGCTGACTAGCGTTCACTTCCACAGTCTGGCTTATTGACTGGCTTAATTGCAAAATCCGGGTCAACCCCTCGGAGATCGAAGCAATTAGCACACGAACTAAGCCAGGAAGCTTGAAAAGTGGCTGCAACAGGCTTGCAGGCTGGAGCGACACAGGGTGGAGGTGAGTAAGGGTAGCTACTAGCTGGAGGTGGCAGACGGTTCACCTTTGACCTGCCGGCAACCCACAAACAGTCTTCTAACGTCTGAAATACGCGTAAACCCACACCCACACCGGTGTCACCAGTTTATCATGTGGGTTCAATAACGTGAATGGGGTAAAAATACTCACGTAGGCTGGTTTGTACGTATAATATATAACGGGAAGTATGGGAAGCGCCAACAGCCGACCTGCCTCTCTCTGCTCCCTATCTCAGACTGACCCACCAGTGCCCAGCGGGTGAACGGCATTTGAAAACATGCTATGGTCAGCAGCAACGTGAATAACAGTCGGTGATTCACACAGACGGTTGGTAGTGAGTCATCTACTGGTACACTGGTTGCTGGTAACTGGTTACCAGGAACTGGTACTACTACTGAGATTTGTGGAGTCTTGCATTAACTTGGGGGGGGGGGGGCGGAAAGAGACAACCTCAGTCCATTTAGATCTGTTACTCGTAAAAAATTCATATATATACTGTATGTATGGTTTTTGAGACCTGAAGGGTTCCAAAAACTATATAGACAGTATATATGGTGGACCCCTGCCTTATGAACGCATCGCGTTACGTTAAATTCGCCATATGAAGCATTTGAACACAAAAATTTTGCCTCGCCTCACGATTAAAAACTCGCCTTACGTGATTCGTCTGGGACGCGTCCCACGTGTGGCCTCAGCACCAGTGTTTACAAGCCAGCCAGTGCGGTCCCATCTACGCATACATTCGGTACATTTCACATTATCCCAGTGTTTTTAGTGCTTGTAACTGCAAAATAAGTCACCATGGACCCCAAGAAAACTTCTAGCGTCATCCCTGTGGTAAAAAGGGCAAGAATTAATATGGAATTGAAAAAAAGAGATTAAGGAAATGTGTGCAAAGTGGGTTGAACTGCAAACCTTTACGGATGAAAATCACCCTGACACAGCTACTGCAAGGCGTGTTGGCAACCTGTAGAATGACAATGTTATGGCCTATTTTAGGAAAGTCTTAAAGGAACGGGAGGTACAGAGCTCTATGGACAGATTTGTTGTTCGACAGAGGTCCAGTGACACTCAAGCTGGTCCTAGTGGCATTAAAAGAAGGGAAGTAACCCCGGAAAAGGACTTGCTATCTCAAGTCCTAATGGAAGGGGATTCCCCTTCTAAACAACAACTTCCACACTCTCCCTTCCTCCCATCCCATCAATCACCAGATCTTCAATAAAGGTAAGTGTCATGTATTCTATTCTTAGTAGAGTAGTAATTGTGCATGTCTTCTTCAGTTTGTGTATATTAAAATTAATATTTCATGTGGTAAAAATTTTTTTTTCATACTTTGGGGTGTCAGGAACGGATTAATTTGATTTCCATTATTTCTTATGGGGAAAATTAATTTGGTTAACGATAATTTCGGCTTACGATGAGCTCTCAGGAACGGATTAATATCATAAGGTGGGGGTCCACTATGATTCAGGGAAACCGGTTATTTTTATATAGCCGGACTCGAGTACTGGAAATGGTAAGTACAATGCCTGCACTCTAAAGGAGGGGTATGTTATATATGCTTCTAAACTGTTGTATCTGGGTGCCTCTGCAAATACAATGATTATGTGTGAATGAGGTGAAAGTGTTGAATGATGATGAAAGTATTTTATTTTTGGGGATTTTCTTTCTTTTTGGGTCACCCTGCCTCGGTGGGAGACGGCCAACTTGTTGAAAAAAAAAAAAGAGCATTATCACCCGTTTCCTCACATTGTAGCCCTGATGATACAGAGGTTATGAAAATGGTGTTTTTTTTTTTTATATGTTATTTGGAATTACCAGACAATTATCAATATCAGATCATCTCTCCCCTGTTCCATTAAATCACAGTTTTACTGTATTTAATGTTATTTTAGACAGTATGTAGAAAGTTGAGACTACTGTGTTGGGCAGTTTTTAGTTTCAATAATGAATTTATTTTCACTACAATAATGTTTTTACAGAAGCGGAATGTTGAAGTGCTCTTCTGCTATGAGCCATATGATGAAGTGGTTCTGATGCAGCTACGTGAATTCACTAACAGGAAAATCATTTCAGTAGAAAAAGAAATGCGTCAGGATAAAGATGCTGTTGACTATGAAGGTAGTATGTAATCAGGAAGGGGTTAGGTGTCTAGGGTACTTAACCCTCTGCTTATTTTATAATTATTGATTTCAGGAGGAGGGTAGTTTACTTTTTATAAAACTGAATGAATCTGAAGTCAGATGTATAAATGGGAGATGGGGATGTTTCCTCTCTATTGCACATTTGCCGTTAACTTTATATCTAGATATTTTTTATTCTTTCAAGAAAACAAAAAAGGTTCAGCGAACTCACACGATAATCTGTAATGGTGTTATTGTCACTTAAGTATAGGTTGGCCATCACTAATCTGGCATCATTGGGACCTGCAGTGTGCTGGATTATAGAGTTTGCTGGATTACAGAGTGGTTAGGTTAGAATACACTTAATTAACTCATCAATAGACACACTTTCTGCTACATCTTCCTCATTTTCATCACTGCTTTCTCCTCCACTGGCTTCCTGGTGTGGATTTACAACCATCTGCACAATTTCTGAATTAGTATAATGATGAAATTTGAAATTATGGTGTCCGAAATTAGTGCCAGATTACTGATGGAACTGGATAGCTGATTGCCGACCTGTATTGGAATTTTAGGTCACATATTTTATCACCATATTGCTTGTCAAATATTTTTAAGGAAGATTATATAATTTTTTGGGTTTCATTGGGATTACAGTATTATTAATTTGAAAAAAGTTGATAATTAACCAATCATTATATTAGCATTTCATTCAAGCTGGAATAGATTAATCCTTCATTCGTATTACAGGTTTTTTGTGGTGTGTAAATACTACGTCAAAATAAATTTATTTTAAATGGGATGAAATATGTTGTCTTCTGCTTTTGTCTGTCAGCTGAGAGTGGCTTACGTCGTACCCAGGCAAACGAGTTGATGGACTGGCTTAAGACTGTATTGAGTGGACGATGCTGGGGAGTGAAGGCCACCCCTCGTTTGGAATCACATCCGTGTGCTGTCACTGTGGAGGAGATGGGAGCAGCCAGACACTTCGTACGCACTCAGTTCACACAGATCCCTGAAGAGACCAGATACTCTCTTTTGCAGCCACAGTTGGAAATTAATCCAAGGTATGGATTTGTATGAGTTGGCTTTTGGCAGAGGTTAAAAAGGATTGTTGCTCAATCCATTTTCAATTTTTTTGGCCATAGTACTATGGGTTTGAGGTCATTGTTAGTGCCGTAGTACTACACCATGAGCTCAGCTCACTCAGATAAGCTGTGAGCAGAAAATTTGGGCCTAGACATGAGAGAATGGGTCTATGTGGTAAGTGTGCACCACAAAAAAAAAAAATCCTGCAGCATGTAGTGCATGATGAGAAAAAACTTTTTTTCTTTTTGGTTTAAAACGGCACCTTTGCGGTAAATTTTCATGTGGTTTTTATGGTTGTATTCTTGGTTTCTTGAGCTCAGTTGATAGAATGGAAGGTACATTACAGAAATAGAAATGATTTTGATTGGATTCAGGACTGAAAATAGCTTGAAACTCGGCTCAGATTAGCGGAAATGTTCGATTTTTGCTGATATTCAAGAGTAAACAAATGTCCCTCGTCCCTGGATCTAATATGCATTCACGAATGTGCTGATGTTATTTGTACAATTATTACAGTACCACATAACAGTAATTCTTCTCTCTCTATTTTTTTGTGTGTGAATAAAAATTGTGTGAAATGTAAAATCAAAATGGAATTCATATGTAGCCTGGGAATGTATGCATTGTTTATTCTGGACCCCATTTTGAAATTTGTATGAAATTGGCCAAATTACCAATTTCTGATCACTTTATTGGGTAGTTGATTGGGCGGTTCCTTGTGCTCAGTCGATAACTACTGGAGTAATGGCCTAAAATAGGACGCAAAAGTGGGCAGAATGCCAATGCGTAAATATCACTTACACAGCAAAATTCACGAAGGCATAATTTCATCAGTTTTCTATCAAATTTCGTACTTTTTGTTTTATTACCTTCAGAAAAAGATTCTCTACCATTTCATAAAAAAAAAAAATTTAAACTTCTTGGGTACTGTAGACAAGTATCAGATCAGGGGTCTGGACAATGAAAACGTTCAGGGTGTCACTGCCAAGAAAAGGTTTTATTTCAAAGTGGCATACTTTGCATCAGAATGAATAACCTTTGGCCTGGCTGCCTTTCTCATTGAGAGCTCCATCTTTAATGTGCACTCTGACAGGTTTTTAACTGAAACTAATTTATTGTATTATGCCTTCATTGCATATAGCTCATCATGCTTTTCCTTAAATTGAAACTCCCTTTACCATAACAATACTGAATGACTCAAAGGTTTTGCAGTCTTTTTTTTATAATGGTGCCATCTAGGGGATTTTTTGGAAATTAAATAATTTGAATTTTGATAATCAGATAATACAGATTAGAATTGTTGGTGTTTTGCATTCTCCCCTCAAGAGGCTCCTTAACTAAGGAATGAGACCTGTGCTCCAATTCCTTAAATCAAGTTTGAATGCCTTCCATTCCCCCAGCTGCTGTATGACACCTACAGGTAAAGCGGCTCCCTGTAAATATAATATTTTGCATTCTGTGTAACCACTTTTGCTGTACAGTAATATCAAGAAAGACAAAGTTAAAAGTATAATATGATGAGTAGTTATAGCCAACTTTGTACATTAGTGATTGTCACTATCTTTCCAACAACCATTCTTTTATACGAGATTCATCTTTGGTCTTGTTCAAAGATAGGTGATGGTTATTTCTTGGATAATACTTATACTGCATACCCCCTTGCATTTGATTTTTCTAACCAGAGATTATTTTCTCAGCCACCCTATCATAATGAAGCTGAATGAACTGCGTATCAACAATCCTCGGTTGGCAGAATTAACTGCGAAACAGGCAAGTAGAAAAAATGTTTTGTGTATGGACATTAAGTATAATAATTTAAATCATTGAAAAGTGAGAAGCACTAAGACACTGGAGGGCAGAAGAACTGGGAAAGGAGAGGGGACATTATATAACATACAAAGTACCCATGACATGAAAAGGGAACTCCGGAACACAGCTGGAAGTTGATCATAAATGAACCACAAGTATGTTAGGAGTATTTCTTTAGACCCAGAGTGGTCAGGAAGTGGAATGATCTTGGCGAGGAAGTGAAAGCAGACTCCATGCAGGTTTTTTTGAATAGGTACGATAGGGCCCTATAAGGGAGTGAATCTGCAGAGAAGCAAGTTGAGGCAGGGCCATTATTATAATAACCAAATGCTAAACCCATAAGGGTCATACAGTGCTGAGAGGCAAGTACACATCCACCTGTAATGTGTACAGGTGAAGATTAATATAAAAACCAAGCACTAAACCCACAAGGGTCATAGTGCTGGTACGGCTCAAGTTAATGTTTGTGGAAAAGACTGATTCACCTGCAGGTTTAGTGCTTCCCTATGAATGCAGTACAGTATATTCATGGAAAGCTTTAAGATTCTTAGTGCTGCTATCTGGTGATTCTTTCCAATTTTTTTTTTTTCTAAATGTGACACCTTTCCAAGTATTTACTTTAAATTTTATAAGTTCCTGAAAATATTTTGATTTTTATTTAAATGTGTAAGTTAAATATTGTTGCATTTTATTTTTCAGTTATTCAGCAATGCCATGGTTCTAGCAGGTCTAGTAGAAGATCCACGCATAGTGCTATCTTCCATGAACGAACTCCTTCAGTTGGCTTTGGAGAAGCATTAAGTCTAATGCTAGTTTATGTCTGTTAATGGTTACTTAGACCAGTGGAGGAGTAATATACATGCAGTAATAGGTTATCGTTATTGATGAGACATTTTGCCTACTCGACAGGCTTCTTATGAAAATACATATGGGGGAAGTGGCCATGTAGATATAAGGTGACCAGTCCCTCAGTCTTAGTGCATGTTCATTATTATAATTGTGAAACTAAGGCATGAGAGAGAAGCTTTTTATACTTCCAGAAGTGAGGCTGGCATCATAGGTGGGTTCACTAGGAAAATAACACAGGAACTGAGGAGTACTGCAGCAAGCAGTGATCAGTCACTGTACAACTGGCTCCATAGCATCATGAGAAAGCAGCCTTTTACTGTCAAGAGTGAGGATGGCATTGCAGAAGACAGGGCTTACTAGTGGAAGAAACAATTAGAGTACTGCAGAAAGTCTGCTGGCTTATGCTAGGCAGTTCCTCAAAACCAACTCTTCTCACTCAACTAGTGGCTGAGCAACAAAGTTGTAAATGACATCTTTCTTAATATACAATGGGCATGCTGTCAAGTATCATTAATGATTTACTCTTCTAGTCATTATATCAATATAATTATACTTGACAGCATGCCCATTGTATATCGAGAGAGGTCATTTACAACTTTGTTGCTCAGCCACTAGTTATGAGTGAGAAGAGTTGGTTTTGAGGAACTGCCTGGCATAGGCCAGTAGACTTTCTGTAATACTCTAATTGTTTCTTCCACTAGTAAGCCCTGTCTTCTGCAATGCCATTCTCACTCTTGACAGTAAAAGGCTGCTTTCTCACGATGCTATGGAGCCAGTTGTACAAGAGTGACTGATCACTTCGCATCTACACTTTCACTATCTCTTGTCTCCAGTATTTTGACTGAAGTCTGCTGAGCAGGCAGGCAGAAAAAATGTCTTGTCACTAAAGTTAAGAAACTGTCATGTTATACTTGTCAAAGAGATGAACAGTTTGTATATGAAAACTTTATACACAAGTTTAATAAAGAGATTTAAAATGTTCTTGGGGAATGTTTTGTCATACCTTCTGTTGCAAGCCTTTATTACTGACAATGTTAGGTAAAAGGAAAGGACAAGTGCAACTAGTGTGACATTTTATTGTGGCAACATTTTGCTCTTCAGGAGCTTTGTCAGTTATAATATAATGTGTGTGGTGGTAGTAAAAGTCAACTTGTACAGGAGTTAAAAAGCTTATTGCTTGGGGCCAATATTTGTTAGAAGGGTGGAGTGAAGAAGAACTGTTTCAGTATTCCTCCTCTTTTTTTTTTTTTTTATGTAGTAGCAGCAGCAACTATGTGATGGCAGGGTTTGTTTTGAGGAGGATTCTTGCTGATACTTATAGATGATGAAGCTGCCTTTATTTTGCCTGTGTTAGATATGGCGATTAACGATTATTCGAGGCATTTGCAGATATTAGGTTCTTTGATCACTAGTCGGGCATTGTTGAATTTCGTGAGGTGATTGCTTGCCTACGTCAGAATTCTGCCACTGTTCAAGTTATTGTTCATACATGCATTGTGTTCATGGAGACGTGTTGTAAGGTTTCTTGCCGTTTCTCCTACACTTATTCTGTCGCAGCCTCCCCAAGGTAGTGTAAAACCCTGCATTGACTGGTTCATGGTGCTTTGATTTTATGGAAGTGCTGGTTGCAGTAGCGACTAGTGTTACCTTGCAAGAGTTCTTTAGAAATGTTCATTATTATAATCAAATCAGGGAAAGCACTAAACTGACAAGGGTCATTAGAAATGTTCAGTGCAACTTGGCTGTTGGGAAGGATTATAACTTTGTTAGGAATGGTATTGGTACATGGAGAATTAATGATTTGAAGGGCTGATGAGAAAGGAAGGAAAATGTAGATCAGTGAAGGTTTAGCGTATACATATGTATACTGCTTGTCAAGAAACTCTGGACTACAAATTCAGTATGCCTTGGGAAAAATCTGATACCTTTTTTGGTCTTTGTACCTTGGCTGGAATAGGAATGTGCAAGATCATTTTTGTTTGTAGGTTTTTGGTAAACTTGAAATCTTAAGATTGTTATCTTTGTGAATGAGGACATCTAGAAAAGGTAACGTGTCACTGGACTCTTCTTCAGGTGTAAACTGGATAGCCAGTTCAACTGTTGAGCCTTGCCTGAAGATTCCACACATCAAAATGTTTGGGAGTTATTATGAGGACGTCGTCCATGTAACTTAACCAAGCGACGCTGGTAGGGATGATGCTGGCAAACTGTTCATCTTCCAAGTGTTCCATATACAAGTTAGCTAAGACAGTACTGATCGGGGACTCTATTCCCATACATAGATTTGTTTGTAAAGCCTGTTATTGGAAGAAAAACGGTTGAAATTAATGCAGAGTTCAATCAAGTCAATGAAATCTCCGGGAGGCATTGGAAGATTAAGGTCCTGATTGAATTTACATCATAGAACGTCAGTGGCTTGTGGTGGGCATTATCATGAAGAGGGAAGTTACGTCCAAACCACTTAGTTTCTCATTTTGGATGGAGAGGGCTCTGATGTGGTTGAGGTTGCCTGAATGCTTTACATGAGCAGGGCTTGTCCCCAGAAGGCAGGAAAGATGTTTGGCAAGAACTCCAGCTACTTTGTGTGGTGCATTGCCTATACCTGATGCAATTGGTCTGAGAGGAATACATTTATGGGTCTTACGTTTACCCTACATGTGTGCTGGTTTAGGGTTGCTGGGTATTAGGTGCATTACTGAAAGCATTCAGGGAACACATCAGAGACCTCTCCCTCTGAAACAAGAAACTAAGCAGTTTAGATGTAGCTTCCCTCTTCACAAAAGTACCCACCACACAAGCCACTGAAGTTCTATAACGAAAAGTCAATCAGGACCTTAATCTTCCTCCCGGAGATTCTGACTTGATTGAACTCTGCATTTCTTTTAATAATTTTTCATTCAATAACAGGCTCTACAAATAAACGTATGGTATGGGAATGGGGTCCCCCGTCAGCGCCATCTTAGCCAACTTGTATATGGAACACCTGTAAGCTGAACACTTTGCCAACATCATCCCCACCAGTATCACTGTTACATTATATGAATGATGTCCTCATAATACCTCCCAAACGTTTTGATGTAGAATTTTCAGGTAAGGCTCAATGCAGTGGAACCGGCTATCCAGTTTACACTCGAAGAGTCCAATGACAAGCTACCTTTTCTAGATGTACACATTCACACAGATGATTATCTTAAGATTTCAAGTTTACCAAAAACCTACAAACAAAAGCGATCTCGCACACTTCTATTCCAGTCAAAATACCAAGACCAAAATAGGCATCATCATGAGATTTTTTCCAAGTGCATACTGAATTTGTAGTCCTGAGCTTCTCGATGAGGAGTGTACATATATATACCAAACCTTCACTGATCTACATTTTCCTTCCTTTTTCCATCAAAGACTGCAGGAAAAGAGGCCTTCAAATCATTAATTCTCCATGCACCAACACCACTCCTAACAAAATTACAATCCTTCCTAACAGCCAGGTTGCATTGAATGTTTCTAAATTATTATAATCAAAAAGAAGCGCTAAGCCACAAGGACTATACAGCAAACGTTTCTAAAGTAATCGCACAAGCTAATACTAGTCGCCATCGCAACCAGCACTTCCACAAGGGATCTAACTTGGACAAAATTGAAGCACCATGAACCAGCCAATGCAGAGGTTTGCACTATACCCTGTGGAGGCCTGTGACAGAATATATGTAGGAGAAACAGGAAGAAACCTTGAAACGCATCTCGGTGAACACATGCATGTAGGAACAATAACTTGAACAATGCATACAACACCTGAGTTCCACCAATCACCTCATAAAATTTAACAATGCCCAACTAGTGATCAAAGAACATGATTTCCAGACATAAATGCCTTGAATCATCATTAATCATTATTTCTAACAAGGCAAAATAAAGGCAGCTTCATCATCTCTTAAGTATTAGCAAGAATCATTCTCAAAACATTAACCAACTCTGCCATCACATAGTTGCTACTGCTGATACTACACAAGACCATAAAAGAGGAGGAAACACTGAAACAGGCATTCTCCAATCAAACCCACTAACAAATATTTGCCCAACCTATTTTTATGGTACCCAAGCAATAAGCATTAGTAACCTTTTTAACTCCTGTACAAGTCAACTTTTACTACCACTAGTATTACAGCTACTTCTACAATTAATATACTGTGCCTTATACCCCACTATAAGTATATATATATCCTGTGTCCATGTATTGTTTGTAACGGCTTGACCACACTCCTGGAGAGTGAAACATTGCCACAATAAAATGTCATATTAGTTGCACTTGTGCCCTTTTACCTAGCATTGCTGTCACCTATTTGAGATGAGAGAAGTGCTTAGCTCTGACTGCATATTAACTGGGTGTGATCCAGCGAGGTGGAGTTATGACATTCAGTAAGTAGTGAATTTCAAGGCAGTTGGTCAGGTCATGTGAGTGGGCTTTCCTTGTGTTGGAACAGTTACCAAATAGGTGTATGCAAACATCAAAATGCTTTGATTCTATTCATGGATATTTTGTACCCTGATGACTATCTCCAGGCATTTCTTTTTAACCCTAGTATATTCTGTTAAGATTTTAACCTTGTCACACAGTGAGATGGGCAAATTTGTCTGTATGATGCATGTATTGTATAATGGAACCTGTGTTCCTGTTATCTGACATCAAAGTTGCATACAGTCTCACCCTAATACTGATTAAACCTTATGCAGAGTATAATGGAGAAACGGGCTGTATTGGAAGTTCTGTATAGGTTGGGCTGGCAATGTCCTTCATGGTTCTGTAAGCTTTTACTGTGATGTCAGTGTTGGACTTGTGCATCTTTAAACTTGGTTTATAGATGCATAAGTGCTCTATGTCTGCAATTAAGAATGAAATAGAGGAAGAATCTGAGTGGTACTGCAGCTGGAATGGCATTCTTCCTGAAGATAATCTGCAACAAAAGCTGTAGGCTAGGAGGAAGCCTATAAAAAGTTTGGTTCTGGTATGGTATGCATAGTTATGTGGTCACTGTTGGTAGGTTTCTGGTATATTTTTATTAAAGCTCGAGTAAATTGTTTTAGGAAATACACTGGGGAAGGGAAGTAGTATTTTTCATCTTCAAGGATGAACTGGATGACTGTTTCACTGCACTTGGCTACAGAACTCTTCAAGACTGTACTAGTAGTGATCAGAATGTAGTCTAGTGCAGCCAGGTAGAAGTTAGAGTTAATGTCAGTGAAATATTACATTTTCAGGCATTTGACAGAGATGATCTGAAAACTGAATGCTTTGCTAACATTGTCTGTTATTCAACTGTAACGCATAGACAGAATACTCATCACTTAGGAATTTCAATTTTTAAGAGTGCTGCAACACAAAACCATCCATCTAGTTCACACTTGAAAATGAGAAAGACACTTTACCCTTGATGCCTGTCTCTTAAAACATGATTATTTACACAAGCTTACAGCATACCATGAGCCATTAACAATGACAGTCTTACACAATTCTCACTATACTAGGCTTCTTCCAAGCCTACAGAGTTTGTAGTAGTGAACATACTGAGGAAGAATAGTTTCATTTGTGACACCCCTTAAATTTCCAGTTCATTTCATTCTTGATTGCAGACATAGATCACAGGAAAAATAGCAAAGTTGATAAGACGGTCTTCATAATAATAAAACAGCAGTCTACATCACACCTACTCTCCAAAATTCAACACTGTCATTTCGGTATTAAGCTCCAAAAACCATCATGGCCATCACCCACTAACCTCGACCGAACTTCCTACAATGGTGTTTACACCATCCTTTGCATAATGTGCAAGTATTATGGAAGTGGACCACACACAGCCTTACTGTTATATTTTACAACTATGCATGCAGGTTCCATAATGCAATGTATACATCAAAGATAAACTTTTCACACCTCATGTGGGATAAGGCCATACTCATCTTAAGAAATGACAATTGGGTTAGGAAGTGCTCGGAAGCAGCCCTCATCAGGTATAAAACTCCAGGGAGCAAAATAGAGGGACTTCAACCCAGGCATTTCTACAAATCCCTTCTCACACGGCTCCATCTGTGATCTGACCAGCTTCTATCTCCACTATATATGTAATCTTTCCTCTCTCCACCTCACTGGAATGTATAAAGACATGGGTTTAGGGTTTGTAGACTTGATAAAGCTCAACCAGTGAAACATTATCTAAAAAATTAAAAGCTTGATTTACATTGCATTTTTATACCCACTTGTTAGCTTTGTTGTCCAGTACAATACACCACTCAATAACCCATACATTTTTAGTACTTTTTGTTAATACAGTATAAAGTATCTCAAAAATGCACCATACTCATGTGGATCATACAGGGCCATAGAGTGGCAGGAAGCTGACAGCATGGGGAAAAAATATGAAGGTTTATTCATGTGCTACAGAGCTGTATGACCCTGGGTTTAGCACTTCTTTTTGATTATTATAATTATTATTCATGTGCTAAAGAGAAAAGTATGGATTTAGTGCTTCCCCATAATTATAAATAGTGAAAGTAGGGGTGATATATCAGTTTCAGTTATATATAGTGGTGAAGAGTGGGGCTTGCAGAGGGGGCAATCAGACGGCTTATCAAGGTGTTTAAAACAAGAAATGGGAAACGAATTCTACATGCAGAAATTTGATTCAATTTTAATGCTGGAAGTGGACAGCTCCTGGCATGCCAAATTAATCACTGAACATATTGACTGGTACCTGCAGCTGAATGTATTTTCAATGGAAATAGTTGCAACATCTTAAAATAATGAACACAAGAGAATAAGTCAAGATACTGGCATTACCCTTCCTTGGATCAAACCTGATTACCTCTCATTCCTCAAGCCCTGCAAGACCCCCATGGGTTTAATGCTTTCCAGTAAATGTGATACAGGTTTAACTCCTTTCCCCTTCCCCTGTGTTTGTATAAAAACGCATACTGGGTGTCAGTTACTGATATAATTATTTAGATGTTTAACCCCTTCACTGTCCAGACCCCTAAAATTAATATTGCTCTTAGTATCCACATCCCCCCCCCTAAAAAAAAATCTGAAATGGTAGATTCTTTTTCTGAAGGTAATGGCACCAGAAGTATGAAATTTGATGGAAAATTTATGGAATTACACAGGCCCAAAGTTAGCAGTCTGGGTGCAATCTGTGCATTGGCAATTTTGCTCACTTTGAGTCCCATTTTTGGGGGTTGGGTTTGATAGCTTTTCAAGACAGTATTCAATTTCCAAAGCTGGTCTTTGAACTGCTGGAAAGTTGCATCTGGTGGTTTATACAAGCACAACTATATTCTGATTTTCAATTTAAACTGCAAAAACTTCTAACTACAAAGAAATGAAGCATCTTCTGGCTTAAGTACAACTAGGGGGATTAGTTCAGTGGATGATCCACCATGGAAAGTACTAATTTTCAGCCAGAAGTGCCAGACAAGTTTGTACTAACCTATGGGAAAATAGACGAGACAGGGTCATACATGATTCAACTGTCAATGTAAGACAGGAAAATCTAGGAATGCATCCTCACTTTTTTCTTAAAAAAAATGAGGCCAGTAAAAAAAAAAAATGTTTCCTAACATTCCTATGATTCACCTGCCTCTTAATTTTCAGGTGAGCTCTAGTATTCCTGATCCTTACCTTTCTGACATGCCCTATCAGTACTGAAAATGAAGAAATTTGTATTTTTCTCTTAAAACTGAAGTTGATAAAATTGAAAGTTGGTAAAGCAGCTGGAATTGACAGGATCATGACATGTTAAAAGCAGGGGGGATACAGTGTTGGAGTGGTTGGAATTTTTATTTAATAAATGTATGAAAGAGGGGAAGGTACTTAGGGATTGGCAGAGAACATGTATATTTCCTTTATATAAGGGGAAGGGGAACAAAAGAGATTGTAAAAATTATAGTAGTAGTAGTTTACTGAGTATACCAGGAAAAGTGTACGGTAGGGTTATTATTGAAAGAATTAGAGGTAAGACAGAGAGTAGGATTGCAGATGAGCAAGGAGGTTTTAGAGTGGGTAGGGGATGTGTAGATCAAGTGTTTACATGGAAGCATGTATGTGAACAGTATTTAGATAAACGTAGGGAAGTTTAAATTGCATTTAACGGATTTAGAAAAGGCATGATAGAATGGATAGGGGAGCAATGTGGCAGATGTTGCAAGTAGTAAGTTACTAAATACTGTAAAGAGTTTTTAAGAGGATAGTGAGGCTCAGGTTAGGGTGTGTAGGAGAGAGGGAGATTACTTCCCGGTAAAAGTAGGTCTTAGACAGGGATGTATAATGTCACCATGGGGTTGTAAAATAAGTAAATGCTAGGGTGTTCAGGAGAGGGGTGGGATTAAATTATGGGAAATCAACACAGTTACTTTTTGCTGATGATACTGTGCTTATGGGAGATTCTAATCAAAAGAAAAATTACAAAGGTTAGTGGATGAGTTTGAGAGTGTGTGTAAAGGTAGAAAGTTGAAAGTGAACATAGATAAGAGTAAGGTGATGAGGGTATCAAATGATTTAGATAAAGAAAAATTGGATATCAAATTGGAGAGAGGGAGTATGGAAGAAGTGAATGTTTTCAAATACTTGGGAGTTGACTTGTCAGCAGATGGGTTTATGAAGGATGAAGTTAACCACAGAATTGATGAGGGAAAAAAGGCGAGTGGCGAGTTGAGGTATCTGTGGAGACAAAAGTTATCCAAGGAGGCAAAGAAGGGAATGTATGAAAGTATAGTAGTACCAACACTCTTATATGGGTGTGAAGCTTGGGTTGTAAATGTTGCAGCGAGGAGGCGGTTGGAGGCAGTGGAGATGTCCTGTGTGGTGTAAATATTAGGCAGAAAATTCGGAGTGTGGAAATTAGGAGAAGGTGTGGAGTTAATAAAAGTATTGGTCAGAGGGCTGAAGAGGGGTTGTTGAGGTGGTTTGGTTATTTAGAGAGAATGGATCAAAGTAGAATGACATGGAGAGCGTATAAATCTGTAGGGGAAGGAAGGCGGGGTAGGGGTCGTCCTCGAAAAGGTTGGAGGGAGGGTGTAAAGGAGGTTTCGTAGGCGAGGGGGTTGGACTTCCAGCAAGCGTGCGCGAGCGTGTTAGATAGGAGTGACTGGAAACGAATGGTATTTGGGACCTGACGAGCTGTTGGAATGTGAGCAGGGTAATATTTAGTGAAGGGATTCAGGGAAACTGGTTATTTTTATATAGCCGGACTTGAGTCCTGGAAATGGGAAGTACAATGCCTGTACTTTAAAGGAGGGGTTTGGAATATTGGCAATTTGGAGGGATATGTTGTGTATCTTTATACGTATATGCTTCTAAACTGTTGTATTCTGAGCACCTCTGCAAAGACAGTGGTTATGTGTGAGTAAAGCGAAAGTGTTGAATGATGATGAAAGTATTTTCTTTTTGGGGATTTTCTTTCTTTTTGGGTCACCCTGCCTCGGTGGGAGACGGCCGACTTGTTGAAAAAAAATTAAGGAATTATTAGTTTTATCAATTACTTTTCACAAATGTTAAAAAATTATGTAAATATTGCTTTGGTTGAAATTTAAGACAGTTTTGATAAACATTCAAATGAATGTACTGTATCTACAAGGAACTATGTGCCTCACCCTTGAGGAGGGGTGGAGATGATGTGGTTTTGAGAGTCACCTGAACAGGGATGTCAGTGCCCTTCTGGCAAGACTGACTGAATGAGCGACAGTAAGGGTTTTCTTACACGAAATCACAGCTTCCCAATCTTCATCACATTTAACAATTCCTCAAAATATTACCTCCATCTTCCCAATACCTCTAACTTTCCATTTAATAACTCTCCTCTCCTATTTTTAATTGACACATCCACTTGTTCCCTAGGCTTCCTCAACTTATTAATCTCACTCCAAAACTTTTTTCTTATTTTCAACAAAATTTGTTGATAACATCTCACCCAGTCTCTCATTTGCTCTCTTTTTACATTGCTGCACCACTCTCTTTCTCTCCACATACTCTTTCCACCCTGCATCACTTCTGTTTTGTAAAAAATCTCTCATATGCTAACTTTTTCTCCCTTACTACTCTCTTTACATTATCATTCCACCAATCGCTTTTCTTCCCTCCCGCACACACTTTCCTGTAACCACAAACTTCTGGTGAACACTAACACTACATTTTTAAACCTAACCCATACATCTTCGACCCCATTGCCTATACTCTTACTAGACCATCTATCCTCCAATAGTTGTTTATATCTTACCCTAATTCCCTACTCTGCTTACCTTATGAATTTTTTCCTGCTCAAAATTTTCAGCTTCTGTCTTCCCAGTCTATATTACATCACCAGTCTTCTTTCTGCATGTAGTATTGTGTTAGTGAGCAGCACAGACAGACATTACATTCTTTCTTGGAGCAGTTTCACCAAGCCCAAAGGCAGAAGAGAAATGGCATCGTCTATCTTTGGGTTTATTTTGTATTCAAAAACAACTTCAGCAATACAAAGAACCAGCTGTAACATTTAAGCAAAATAAATTAATAAATAAAAATAAATATCTGTATATGATACACACACACGATTTATAATTTTGTGTGCACAAGCATTGCTTTTAAGGCAGTCTGTGAAATCAGCTGAACTGCCCAATAATAATATTTAAGGAAAATTATCCTGTACATTGATAGATATATTCTTGGTAATTAACAAGGTATAAAAATAATTTTGCACCTCAACCTTACCTACCTCATTGAATTTTCCTAAAATTAACATAAGGTATTATATTCAGAGGAAGATGCTAAACTCGTAGGTCATCCAGCATGTGGGATGGAAAATAATCAGGTTTGATCTGAGAAAAGTGAGAGTACATCTAACTTCTTGGATAAAGAGCCCTTCAGCACCAAGACATTTCCTATCTTAGGTCAACCTAAATTTAGCGATTTGTATTTAACATCAATATATTAGTTTCTTTATGCTTAGACTGGTTTCTGCAGCATTACTGCAACCATGAATTCACTCAGTGTTTGGCAAATTAACTGATTAATGAGACAAAATTGCACGTTCTAAATAAGTTTTTTGTACTATACTGTACACATCCCCTAGGGGTTTAGCACTGCCCCATGAATACAATTACAGTATGCATATGTATTGTGTGTATTTGTGTACTGTGTATGTATATATATACACACAAATTACAGTCATACATAGCTAGACTGCCTCTAATGTTTTGGTTTCTACCTGGACATACCTGATCATACTGATCATATGACACTGACCAGGCACTTGGTGGCAAATACTAACAAGACAATGCCACCAGAAATTTAGCCATTGCAAATAGTTAACTTTTTTTAGCAATCACTCATCATTCACATAGTGAATTTACTAACGAAAACTGCTTACATAGTCAATAATCACCTTCATTAAAAGATTAATTTTGAAGGTTATATACTGTTGGAGAACAAAGGTAAATTAGTTTACTTCCAGTTAATTACACTGCCAGTTACACACTTTGGTAATTTAATACATTTCACCATTATGTGTTAATTACAATGCAGCTGCCTCCTCTACAGTTTCACTGAGGTAATCAACAGCACTGAAAAAAAATGTTAGTGATGTAGTAGCTAAAATTAATGTGGCAGGAAATGCAAAGTTTCCTGCTACATGATGTAGACAACTAACATGGACGGTACCCATATCACAGCTGCGTCGGAAGCACACGTCCAGCATGCTGACCTTGCTCATACCTGCTCACTAGATTCCGTCCAGCAGTGACCTTGTATCTTCTTACTAGATATTCTCCAGCAGGTAACCCCGCTCATACTTGCTCACTATAGACTCGTGCTGGTGACCTCACTTATACCTACTCACCAGACACACTCCAGCAGGTAACCTCATTTGTATCCCATTAAAGACTCTTGAGAACTGTTTGTTCAGCTTTTATTAACTTAATGGTGCCATTAGGAGGGCAATGCTTGGAGTTGGTTGTTATATACTGATGGAGAAGGTAAATACAAGTTGGTTATGAAACCTCTCAACATGTCATTGCAAATGACACGCTTTTCCTGACAAACAGGCGTATCTGCATCCTTGTTCTTAGTGACCTCGAATGCCATGAACAATACATATGGGCATCAACCATACAAAACATTAAATAACCTTGCCAATACAAAACTATACAGTTCTATATCATACCTTTTAACCTTTTTGCATATGCCTGCCAAAACACTTTATTAATTCCTTGTAATTTACCAGAAACACAATTTTAAGCATCAGTTATAGGCTTAAACAATATCACAGCATCACGTTAGTTAAGCCTTACTCCTGACCACTGCCTCATGAACAATACTCATTCGTCTATCTTGACTATATAAATTACTCGTGTTTTTACACTGGCTACTACCTGTAGTCATCTCGCCGCCATCACTGGTTGTGTATGCAATTGTTTTAGCTTGGCCAGCTTGCTGGAAACATCTGAAAGGGAGTAGTATGAATTAACACCTTAAAGAACATTATTATTATTATTATTATTATTATTATTATAAAAAAGCACTACACCACCTTAAAGAACAAAAAGGCACAATACCGTTATTGGAACAATACACAAATTATTCTCGCATTGTAAATGGTCCAAGTCGGACCGAAATGTTGTCGTTAAGTTCCTCCTCTCTCCTATGTGCGGATTATCTGTGTATTAACACCTTATTTCTGGCCACTTACAGCTGGGCTTTAGAAGTCATCCTTTTTTCATGAGGTCATAATTACACTAGACCCTAATGGAGGCAAACCTATCTGGCACATGTTCTTCATATTAATTTCTCAGCAGTCTAATTAAACTGAATTATCTCTTATTACGATCCTCATATAATTGTATAACAGAACCCTGTTTAATGTTTTTGACTCTGGCAGGATTGCTGCTCTTTTCTTTGTCAAATATGTAGGATGACAGGTAAACTGAACAAGCTTATATACATTATACACTTTACTTTCCTGCATTTCATATAGTTTTTTGCTCTCCAACGTTTCTTAACAATTTAGGATGTTAGTGACCCCTGGATTATTATTATTATAATCAAGGGGAAGCGCTAAACCCGTAGGATTATGCAGCGCCTGGGGGGGATGTGGAAGGCATTCAGGCTAATTCGGGGAACTGGAGCACAGGCCCAATTCCCTAAATCAAGAGCCCCTCACCAACATCAAGGAACTTTCCCTGAGGGGAGTGACCCCTGGAACTAATGACAGATATAAACAATATTTTGATTATCCAACACGAATGTTTTACTTTTCCGTTTCATACACTCTCCACTTACAATCTTCCCTCCACCCATCTCCTCGCCATCACTATCTAGCTAAATAATTTATATTTACTTAAGTAGAGGTAACTAGGCCGTAGTTAGCTTTAAGCTGAAAACTTTAATTTAGAGCGTATGAGTTTTCGGCTCTACAGCATTCCTCCCTCATTCACATTAGTCTTCTCTGCACTCCCTTATACTCCGCTACTCGCTGTTTTATTTTCTTGTCTCAAGCCACAGATCTCTGCCTCCCATGATGCTCTCTTTATTAAACCGGATTATCTATCATTCCCCAAGAGCAATATAACTTTTGCATTGCATACTAGTGTGCATCTTTTGTGCTTACCAATGTTTTATTACATGTAAATTACATTATTTTGTACCACTTAAATATATATAAAAAATAGTGAAAAAAAAATAGTGAAATTTCTAGTGCTTTCGTAATTTTTCACATTATCAAGGACTTGTACATAAATAACCCGCACATAAAAGAGAGAAGCTGACGACGACGTTTCGGTCCGACTTGGACCATTTACAGTCACTTTGTAAATGGTCCAAGTCGGATCGAAACGTCGTCGTCAGCTTCTCTCTTTCATGTGCGGGTTATTTGTGTATCGTTCCAGTCACCGTATTGTGCCTTTTTTTTTGTTATTTATCAAGGACTTAATAATGTGAGAAACCACGAAATCGCTTGTTATTTCATTATTTTTTACAGAGTTTGTTTTACACATTGTGATATCACCTGTTTACTGTAATCTTACTGCATATAAAATTGTATTTGTATGAATACGATGCCAACTCACCATATGCGACACAGGAGGCGGTGTGAATGAGACGAGTGTGGCAGGTGAGGGAGGGCCAGGGATGGCACCCACCCACACACCAGAAGGCCAGACATCTGACCCTAATAAACCTTCACCTTCTTTACCAACGTTCTTCTGTACAGGCGCAGGTGTGCACCTCCCGCGCACCACACCACCACCTCCCTGCCACACCAACAAACATTACAAAGTGGTCAGCAAGTCAGTCTTTTCTTTTCTTTTCCTTTCATAAAAGTAAAAGCGACAAGAGTTACTGACAATGTCTGCTCACGTAATTGCTTGAACCTGTAAAGGCTGGACAAAGGAAAGGAATATAGCTGACAGGGGATCAATAGCCTTTTATCTTTTGACTTTGAGAATTTCTTCGAAATATAGGGAGCTTTAAGTCGAGAATAAAAGTGTATATCCACAAGAAATGTTGTACATCCTATGGGCTTCCTGACTGTTGTATAGTTTATAAATATAGTGACTGAAAATAGTCTCAATATAAGAATGTAAGAAACTGGGGTGTAGGCAAAAATAAGAACAATAATTATTTTAATACAGACAAATGGCATAATGGAAATAGGGGAAGAGTAAAAATTAGTCCCAACGAAGTAATGATATTGATTAAATTTATTTCAGGCGACTCTAAACAAGTCACTAAAAAAATAAACTAAATGCTGTGGCCAGAGAATCTTGCATGTTACCCCAGGACAGCACCAGTTACTGGTTGAATCAATTACACTTTTTAATTAACGTCATTGAAACCACCATGTTGCGTTGTATACATTTTAATACTTCCAACAAAACTGGAGTTTTCTTGTAGAAGTTTTAATTTTACCTGGATACAACCCACAAGTTATTTAATTACAGCTGCTTAATTTCAGTGCTAGATGGGAAAAGTAGGAGTGTATGGAAACTTGTCAGAACCTTCAAAAGGGCTAACTTGATGCTGAAGGGTTCTTTATCGAGGGAATTGGAGATACTTCCACATTTTTGGGGGGCTCAAGCCTATTATCTTCATTCCACAGGCGCCATTAGATCCGTATGCATTTAATCATCTCTTTTCATTGAAAACAATAAAGGACTGGGGGACAGTGAGCAGCCATACTCACCCCCTCAGAGCTTCAATCCGACTTCACTCTGGATAAAACACTGGTGGGCGTGGTGGTGGGCGTGAGGGCGGGGGATGGCCACGCCTACACGAAGCTCTCATCATGGAGAAGGTGAAGGGGGCTACCTGTGTCCCTGTACAGAGGAAGTCCTGACCCGCCACCACCACTTGCAGGAGAGCTAGGGGTAGCGACAGCAGACAGCGGCGCTACCTGCAGAGATTCTACCAGTGCTGCCTGCAATATCAAAGTCTATTATTGCTGCTAGGTACATGTGCAGCAATTTGTATGCAGTGGAGGCACCAGAGGCTTGGAGGAGGGCTCCAGTCCTCCATAATCTTAAGCCTCCAAAACTACCCCAAATAAAAATAATAAAAATAAGTAAATTGGCAAATTGTGCGTTTAAAATCCTTAGACTAACGATGTCACAGCCTCATTTGTTCTCAAACATTGCAGGGATAAAATACCTATCTACTGATAGAGAACTACAGCACTGACTATAACCTACTGTGACTTGGGAAGCAAAACAAAATCCCAGATTTCGCTTCTGTAAAGCCCGGTTAGGTGCGAACAAAAGCATTTTTACTGATCTGACATACAGCGTGTGCTTGCTTACAACCAGATTGCTATCCCTAAGCCTCTTCTATACAGAAATTGATGCCGTCTCTGCTTACATGCAGTACAACACATTTGTTAGGAATAGTCGTCTGTATTAGGCATAGAGAAGTCGTATTTGTTACGGACACCACGGTGTTCACAAAGCCCTTTTCTCTAATTCAGAACTTTATTGCTAAGACCCGCGTCAGGAGACACTTGTCCTGTTTCCTGACAAACCCTAAATAACCTATCTTAGCTGTTCTCTGCATACGACAGCATGGATAGGGCGTGATGAACCCACACTATCTGAATATTACGCTTTTATATTTCTTGCGGGAGTTTGAACTCAACTATTTTTGGTCTTTCAAAATCTTTTCACGAGTGAAGCCTAGATCAAGACATTTTAAACGTTAAATGTGTTCAAAAGATCAAAATTCCGTTGATATCTTTTTGAAGAGATTCTGTTGATATTCACAGAGAAGCCCTAAACACGTAAGGGGCGTAACAGTGCCTGGGACAAGTTAACTAATTAGGTTCGATGCAAAGAAAGGAAAAATGGGTTCATTTCCTTTAACGAAGAACGCCTCTTCAGTGTCAAAACTTTGAAAGGCGTAAAGAGAACATTATTTTTGGAAGGTGGTTTAAAGCGCCGTCCAACGACTGTTAGTGGAAATGTTGACGTTTTGGATCAGCACACTTTTCAAGTCTATTAACTACTCGAGGGTTATTAAGTCAGGTAAACAGACACAGGTGGAACTAACGTGACATTTTACTGTGGCAACGTTTCGCTCTCCAGGAGCTTTGTCAAGCCGGCTTGACAAAGCTCCTGGAGCGCGAAACGTTGCCACAATAAAACGTCATATTAGTTGCATCTATGTCCATTTACCTACCATTTTGGTCGGTAATTTTACCACTATTACTGGGGGTTATTAATGCTGCCTCTCACCTTTTTAACCCTAAAATAGGGATTCAAGGGTAGGCTAGGTCAGCAAACAGGACAAGTGTTTCCTGACGCGGGTCTTAGTCATATGATGACCAGCAGCTGGAGCTTTTGGTCATCTGACCGAGGCCTTCCGCTGGCTTACCGGTCCAATGGATTCAAGTAAACTCTCAGTATAAATACAGAAATACACACCCAGAGGAATATACACCTCACGGTGTATGTTTCTGCCATGGGAATAAAATGAGCTTCATGAAATACAATTATGATCCGTTAAAAAAAATGTTTATGGACAACACTGACCAAAAACATTTTTTTTTATCAATTAACAAACGCAATTTAAATGTTGAATAATTTGCTAAAAGATTAGCATGCATCCCTCCCCTCTATGTATAAATAAATTATATCTATGTACCAGCAGCGTATCCTTCTACAACAGATATGAATCTCAAAAAAAAAAAAAAAAAAAAAAAAAAAAAAAAAAAAAAAAAAAAAAAAAATACCACAAAGGCCGCCTCTTATCAGAGCTGGATGACCCGAAAAAAAGGGAAACATTCACCATTATTCATCCAATAGCTGTATATTATCATCATCTAGGATAGACCTGTAAGAATACAATTTTAAATGTGTGGTGGAAAAATAGGAAACGCTCATTCTAATTTATTTACATATGCGCTAAACCCGTGGGAGTTAATCAGGGAATGACATAAATCTTGCCTCTAGACTAAAACATTCTCATGTATACACCAAGAGGTATATATCTCTAACGGCATGCAACAGATCACAGTAAACATGTGATATCACAATATGGAAAGCAACCACTGTGAAAAAATAGTGAAATTCCAAGCACTTTCGTGATTTCTCACATTATCAAGGAACAGTTCCTTGATAATAAGAACATAAGAAAGGAGGAACACTGCAGCAGGCCTGTTGGCCCATACTAGGCAGGTCCTTTACAATTCATCCCACTAACAAAACATTTGCCCAACCCAATTTTCAATGCCACCCAAGAAATAAGCTCTGATGTGAAAGTCCCACTCAAATCCAACCCCTCCCACTCATGTACTTATCCAACCTAAATTTGAAACTACCCAAAGTCCCAGCCTCAATAACCCAACTAGGTAGACTGTTCCACTCATCAACTACCCTATTTCCAAACCAATACTTTCCTATGTCCTTTCTAAATCTAAACTTATCTAATTTAAATCCATTACTGCGGGTTCTCTCTTGGAGAGACATCCTCAAGACCTTATTAATATCCCCTTTATTAATACCTATCTTCCACTTAAACACTTCGATCAGGTCTCCCTTCATTCTTCGTCTAACAAGTGAATGTAACTTAAGAGTCTTCAATCTTTCTTCATAAGGAAGATTTCTAATGCTATGTATTATTTTAGTCATCCTACGCTGAATGTTTTCTAACGAATTTATGTCCATTCTGTAATATGGAGACCAGAACTGAGCTGCATAATCTAGGTGAGGCCTTACTAATGATGTATAAAGCTGCAGTATGACCTCTGGACTTCTGTTGCTTACACTTCTTGATATAAATCCCAGTAATCTATTTGCCTTATTACGTACGCTTAGGCATTGCTGTCTTGAAGATTGAGACACTTATGCAGCATATGGGAAGCTTTATTCAGGAAACGTTTCGCCACACAGTGGCTTCAACAGTCCAATACAAAGAGGAAGGCGTAAGGAGAGGAGGAGAATGAGGTAATCAGTCCCTCAACCTGGAGTCGATGTGTTCAGTCCATCAATCTACAAGATTGATGGACTGAACACATCGACTCCAGGTTGAGGGACTGATTACCTCATTCTCCTCCTCTCCTTACGCCTTCCTCTTTGTATTGGACTGTTGAAGCCACTGTGTGGCGAAACGTTTCCTGAATAAAGCTTCCCATATGCTGCATAAGTGTCTCAATCTTCAACTTGTCGGTTTTTCAAACCATTCATCACATTGCTGTCTTGGTTTAAGGTTGCTGCTCACCAAGTCCTTTTCGCAATCTGTATGGCTAAGTTCTACATCATTTAACTTATAAGTATTAGGGTTATGGGCACTCCTAAGCTTCAGAACCTTGCATTTATCTACATTGAACTGCATCTGCCACTTTTCTGACCAAGAATAGAGCTTGTTTAAATCCTCCTGAAGTTCCATAACATCTACGTTTGAATCAATTATCCTACCTATCTTTGTGTCATCGGCGAATCTGCTCATATCACTAGTAATTCCCTCATCAAGATCATTGATATATATTATAAACAACAACGGGCCCAAGACTGATCCCTGTGGAACGCCACTTGTTACAGATCCCCACTCGGATTTAACCCCATTTATGGACACTGCTTCCTGTCAGTGAGCCATGACTCGATCCACGAGAGCATTTTTCCCCCAATGCCATGAGCTGCCACTTTCTTTAACAGTCTATGGTGCGGAACTCTATCAAAAGCCTTACTAAAATCTAAGTAAATAATATCAAATTCTTTATCGTGGTCAACAGCCTCAAAAGCTTTACTGAAGAAAGTTAATAAATTAGTTAGACAAGACCGGCCTCTTGTGAATCCATGCTGAGTATCATTAATCAAGCTATGCTTATCGAGATGGCTTCTTATAATCTCAGCTATAATTGACTCTAGTAATTTGCCTACAATTGAGGTCAGGCTTACTGGGCGGTAATTTGACGGTAGCGACTTGTCCCCTGTTTTAAAAATAGGAATTACATTAGCCATCTTCCACATATCAGACACTACACCTGTTTGAAGAGATAAATTAAAAATATTAGTTAATGGTTCACAGAGTTCCATTTTGCATTCCTTAAGAACCCTTGAAAAAACCTCATCAGGACCCGGCGACTTATTTTGCTTCAGTCGGTCTATCTGCTTCACAACCATTTCACTAGTGACTGTGATGTTACATAATTTATCTTCTAGCCCACTATAAAAATTAATTACTGGAATATTGTTAGTGTCTTCCTGTGTAAAAACTGAGAGAAAATAATTATTTAAAATCGAGCACATTTCATTCTCTTTGTCAGTAAGATGCCCATAGTTATTTTTAAGGGGACCTATCTTATCTCTAACTTTTGTTCTATAGACCTGGAAAAAACTTTTTGGGTTAGTTTTAGAATCCCTAGCAACTTTAATTTCATAGTCCCTTTTAGCTTTTCTTATCTCCTTTTTAATGTCCTTCTTAATGTCAATATACTGATTCATAAGATGACCCTCACCTCTTTAGATACGCCTATAAATTCCTTTCTTATGCCCTAGTAGATATTTGAGCCTATTATTCATCCATTTTGGGTCATTTCTATTTGATCTAATTTCTTTATATGGGATAAACGTTCTTTGAGCAGCATGTATAGTGTTCAGAAAACTGTCATATTGATAGCTCTCTTCGTTACCCCAGTCAACAGATGATAAGTGTTCTCTAAGCCCATCGTAATCTGCTAAGCGAAAATCTGGGACTGTTACTGAGTTATCGCTACTATCGTACTTCCATTCAATGCTAAATGTAATTGATTTGTGGTCGCTAGCACCCAGTTCCTCTGAAATTTCTAAATTATTAACAAGGGATTCATTGTTTGCCATAACTAAGTCAAGCAGGTTATTTCCCCTTGTAGGTTCTGTCACAAACTGCTTCAAAAAACAATCCTGAACTACTTCTAAGAAGTCGTATGATTCTAAATTCCCAGTCAAGAAATTCCAATCAATATGACTAAAGTTAAAGTCTCCTAGAATTACTACATTATCGTGCCTTGTGGCCTTAACAATTTCCTCCCATAGTAGTCTCCCTTGGTCCCTATCTAAGTTTGGGGGACGGTATATCACTCCTAAAATCAGTTTTTCATGCCCCTCTGAAAATTCTATCCAAACAGACTCTGTATGTGTTACTTCAGACTTAATACCCGTTTTTATGCAACAGTTCAAGCGATCTCGGACATACAATGCCACCCCACCCCCCTTCCCGATACTTCTATCTACTTGGAACAATTTAAAGCCCTGAATATGACATTCCGCAGGCATGTCCCGACTTTTTTGAATTAAACCACGTCTCAGTTAAGGCAAATACATCAATGTTACCTGCACTAGCAACTAATCTCAACTCGTCCATCTTATTCCTAGCACTACGGCAATTAGCATAATAAACATTGAAAGACTCTCCTTTCTCTTTACCCTTCCTGCTCATTTCTGTTTTTCTACTAAACCTATTACTGTCCTTATCACCCAAAGTCCCTGGGTTTTCAATATCTACCTCGTTCTGCTTATTACTAGTTCCCCTAGAACTCGTAATATTACTACACTGGGACTTCACTGTTTTCCTGCCAAAACCCATACCACTAACTATTCCTAGTTTAAAGTCCTAACTGCTCCCTCCACTGCAGTTGCCAGTGCTACCATCCCAGACCTAGATAAGTGAACCCCATCCCTGGCATACATGTCATTTCTGCCATAGAAGAGGTCCCAGTTGTCAATGAATGTTACCGCATTTTCCTTACAGTATTTGTCCAGCCCGCAATTGACACCAATTGCCCTGGACAACCATTCATTTCCAACTCCTCTCCTTGGCAAAATACCACATATGACAGGGTTCCCACCCTTACTCCTAATTATTTCTATTGCTGACCTATACCTGCTAATCAGGTCTTCACTCCTACGTCTGCCAACATCGTTGCCTCCAGCACTGAGACAGATAATAGGATTGCTCCCATTACCTCTCATGATGTCATCCAGACGGCTAACGATAAGCCCCAGGAAAGCAAACTCTCTGTCTCCTACTCCTGTCCTTCAAGCAGAACGCCCTATCCATATACCTAACTATTTTTTCACAGTGGTCGTGTTGCATCTTTAACTGTATATACACCGTTTATCCCTCTGGGATTCAAGTATCCTCGACTAGTGGAATAAGTGGGTGAAATAAAGCCTTAAATGAACCTCATGCAGCAGATAGGTTTTAAACCTCTCGAACAAATTATATAAGAGTACACACAAATCTTAGTACATACACAGAGTACACATCAATATAAACTGTTCACAAGATGGGGAAGGGACATACCTGCGAGCGAGAATAAGGCGGAGGTGGCACACGCGTAGGTATGATTTCCGGACATACGTGAGTGTCCAAGAGCTCAGCTGTTTCTGGGAAAGACAGTGTTATCCCACAGGCCCACCAAAAATGATTGCTTGACACGTCGTGTGCACATTTAAAAATTTCAATAATGTATAATTAACAGAATATTATGAAGGGATAATAATAGTATTAAAAAGGCCCCAAATGAAGTACTGACGAAACATCGAAGGAAAGAGAACAAGCTTTTATGGGGTCAACGTTTCGTATGTGGAGCGAAGTTCTGAACTCTGAAAAGCTCTATACAGTATGAAACGTTATCACAATAAAGAGAGATCAGCAACCTGTGTTTCTCCACAAGATATAACAATGTTTCTCCACAAGATATAACAATGTTTCTTCACAAGATATAACAATGTTTCTCCACAGATATAACAATGTTTCTCCACAAGATATAACAATGTTTCTCCACAGATATAACAATGTTTCTCCACAGATATAACAATGTTTTCTCCACAGATATAACAATGTTTTCTCCACAGATATAACAATGTTTCTCCACAGATATAACAATGTTTCTCCACAGATATAACAATGTTTCTCCACAGATATAACAATGTTTCTCCACAGATATAACAATGTTTCTCCACAGATATAACAATGTAAACAGCGATGTAAGCTTACTAATGCCGTCAGGTAATGCTTATTGGGTATGCTGGTTTTAGGGTTAACAAAATTGTAGGAGGTTAGGTGACCAAGATGACAGGAGAGCAACATGAGTGACCAGGATGATGACAGGTGACCAAGATGACAGGAGAGCAACATGAGTGACCAGGATGATGACAGGTGACCAAGATGACAGGAGAGCAACATGAGTGACCAGGATGATGGCAGGTGACCAAGATGACAGGAGAGCAACATGAGTGACCAGGATGATGACAGGTGACCAAGATGAGAGGAGAGCAACATGAGTGACCAGGATGATGACAGGTGACCAAGATGACAGGAGAGCAACATGAGTGACCAGGATGATGACAGGTGACCAAGATGACAGGAGAGCAACATGAGTGACCAGGATGATGGCAGGTGACCAAGATGACAGGAGAGCAACATGATGTGACCAGGATGATGACAGGTGACCAAGATGACAGGAGAGCAACATGAGTGACCAGGATGATGGCGGGTGACCAAGATGACAGGAGAGCAACATGAGTGACCAGGATGATGACAGGTGACCAAGATGACAGGAGAGCAACATGAGTGACCAGGATGATGACAGGTGACCAAGATGACAGGAGAGCAACATGAGTGACCAGGATGATGGCGGGTGACCAAGATGACAGGAGAGCAACATGAGTGACCAGGATGATGACAGGTGACCAAGATGACAGGAGAGCAACATGAGTGACCAGGATGATGGCGGGTGACCAAGATGACAGGAGAGCAACATGAGTGACCAGGATGATGACAGGTGACCAAGATGACAGGAGAGCAACATGAGTGACCAGGATGATGACAGGTGACCAAGATGACAGGAGAGCAACATGAGTGACCAGGATGATGACAGGTGACCAAGATGACAGGAGAGCAACATGAGTGACCAGGATGATGGCGGGTGACCAAGATGACAGGAGAGCAACATGAGTGACCAGGATGATGGCGGGTGACCAAGATGACAGGAGAGCAACATGAGTGACCAGGATGATGACAGGTGACCAAGATGACAGGAGAGCAACATGAGTGACCAGGATGATGGCGGGTGGACCAAGATGACAGGAGAGCAACATGAGTGACCAGGATGATGACAGGTGACCAAGATGACAGGAGAGCAACATGAGTGACCAGGATGATGACAGGTGACCAAGATGACAGGAGAGCAACATGAGTGACCAGGATGATGACAGGTGACCAAGATGACAGGAGAGCAACATGAGTGACCAGGATGATGGCGGGTGACCAAGATGACAGGAGAGCAACATGAGTGACCAGGATGATGGCGGGTAACCAAGATGACAGGAGAGCAACATGAGTGACCAGGATGATGGCAGGTGACCAAGATGACAGGAGAGCAACATGAGTGACCAGGATGATGGCAGGTGACCAAGATGACAGGAGAGCAACATGAGTGACCAGGATGATGGCAGGTGACCAAGATGACAGGAGAGCAACTTGAGTGACCAGGATGATGGCAGGTGACCAAGATGACAGGAGAGCAACATGAGTGACCAGGATGATGGCGGGTGACCAAGATGACAGGAGAGCAACATGAGTGACCAGGATGATGGCGGGTGACCAAGATGACAGGAGAGCAACATGAGTGACCAGGATGATGGCGGGTGACCAAGATGACAGGAGAGCAACATGAGTGACCAGGATGATGGCGGGTAACCAAGATGACAGGAGAGCAACATGAGTGACCAGGATGATGGCAGGTGACCAAGATGACAGGAGAGCAACTTGAGTGACCAGGATGATGGCAGGTGACCAAGATGACTGGAGAGCAACATGAGTGACCAGGATGATGGCAGGTGACCAAGATGACTGGAGAGCAACATGAGTGACCAGGATGATGGCAGGTGACCAAGATGACTGGAGAGCAACATGAGTGACCAGGATGATGGCAGGTGACCAAGATGACAGGAGAACAACATGAGTGACCAGGATGATGACAGGTGACCAAGATGACAGGAGAGCAACATGAGTGACCAGGATGATGGCAGGTGACCAAGATGACAGGAGAACAACATGAGTGACCAGGATGATGACAGGTGAACAAGATGACAGGAGAGCAACATGAGTGACCAGGATGATGGCAGGTGACCAAGATGACAGGAGAACAACATGAGTGACCAGGATGATGACAGGTGAACAAGATGAGTGGATGATGGATGATGAGGAGGATGTTTGCTTCAACGTGATAAGTGCTGTGTTATGCTTCTTTGGATCGGTATTATCAAGGATGGTTTCCCCCGGCACATGGTTGAATTGCTGCTCCCGGCCTCTTTTCTGAATGACCTGCAAGGATTTAAAGATATGCTGCTACTATTGCTATTACTACTAATAATAATACACTGGAATCTCTGTGTTTGAACTAAATTGGTTCCTAGGTGGTATTCGACCTGCGAAAAGTTCGATGTTCGAAGCAGTTTTTCCCAGGCTTCAATTATCAGCCTCACACACTGGAGGATGATGAACATAAGAAGGAACACTGCAGCAGGCCTACTGGCTCATGCGAGGCAGGTCCAATTCTCCCAATGCCTTGACCTAGTCAGGTCAGGTCACATTCACTTAAGGGAGGACCACGGCATCCGACCTAATAGCACAAGCTAGTCAGGTTCAACTCACACCCACTCATGTCTTTATCCAACCTATTTTTAAAACTACACAACGTCTTAGCTTCTATGACGGTACTCGGGAGTTCATTCCACCAATCCACAACTCCATTACCAAACCAGTACTTTCCTATATCCTTCCTGAATCTGAATTTTTTTTCACTTTAAAACCACTGCTGCGAGTCCTGTCTATGGTAGATATTTTTAGCATGCTATTTACATCCCCTTTATTAATTCATGTTTTCCACTTATACACTGACTCTTCCAAGTCACCGAGAGTTAGGTCAGTGTCAGATGTCACTAAGTACTTTTGAAAAAGGGTTTTCCTGTATCAGGGTAAATTCTGAAGTGGAGCCGTCTTGGTTGGCTCGAGAGGTCAGGTGTTGTGTACGAATGGTATATAATACCGACAAGATGAGATTAAGACATGTGCAACATCTGGGTATCTTTATTGTAGACGTTTCGCCATCCAGTGGTTTTATCAATACAAATTCTAGGACATAACTTGAAGACAGTAGAACTATGTACAGAAGATGAGGTAATCAGTCCCTCAACCTAGGAGTAGGTGCGAAGAGCACCATAGTCGTGGAGATTCTGAAGCAGAAGAAAGGAGCCTGGCGCTTATATAGTAACGTCAGGTGTAGCAGACGAGGGCATATTCACTGGTAGGTGGGATTCCGCAGTGGAAGTAGGTCCTTCCCAAAGAGATGGGTTAGTAGTAGTAGTAGTTGTCGTAGTCGTGAAGGTTATGTACATGTCCTCAGAATTAAGATTCCATGATGTTGCAGTGTCTGACAAGTTGTGTACGAATGGTATATAACCTTCACGACTACGACAACTACTACTACAACTAACCCATCTCTTTGGGAAGGACCTACTTCCACTGGGGAATCCCGCCTACCAGTGAATATGCCCTCGTCTGCTACACCTGACGTTACTATATAAGCGCCAGGCTCCTTTCTTCTGCTTCAGACAGAGACGGACTCTTCGACTGGCTTCTGCACTGGAAAGACGTACCTGCTCCCGGTTGGGAGGATCAGACCTCGACACTCAGCAAATAGAACAGGCAAGAGAAGAGGAACTCTTCATCCTGCTCCAGGACTTGGTGCGTAGCTGGCTGCCTGCCCCTGGGCAGACAGTTGGCCTCTGCACTCTTGTAGCTGGGTGAAGTCTTCCCTACTCTGTCTCCCTACGATCCCCGTTGGGGAGGGGAACCTTACCAGCGTCGTCTTCACCTTGACTTGCACGATGAGCTACGCAAATCGTGTAAAGATCAAGCCAACAAGTGGTACCGTTGATGATTCAACGAAGATTGCTCTTGCAACTGTTGTTCAAGGAGCACTGCAAGTTAAATTCAACACCATTTTGTCCCTGAAAGAAGCATTCATTCTTGTGTGTCACGATGATGCTGAAGCAGAGAAGCTACTCACTACAGATGCCACCACTACACTTACCGCTCAAGGGTTTACTGTTATGTCATCTCCTGCCCTCAGGGCCAGGAAATCAGTATTCCTTAAAAAAACTGGACAAGATTCTGACGTCTCAATCACCTGCAGAACTCAAGACATCCATCGAGACGCAAAATACTTGGGCTACTGTTGACAGTATCACAAAAATCCCGAATGCATCGTCCATGCTCAAGGTCACCTTCACTGACGTTAACATGGCTGCCACTGCTCTGAACGAAGGTCTTGCTGTTTACTACTACTTCATCAGTCCAACCTACATCGAAGCAGAGATATATCAGTACATCCAACACTGCTGGAACTGTTATTCTTACCATCACACCACCAAAGCATGTCCAGTAAAAGACAAGAAGTTCTGCACTACATGTGGTAGTGAGGGACACACCTTCAGTTCATGCACCGCTGCTACTCCACCACAACCATCGTGCTTAAACTGTAAGAGTAACGACCACCATACACTGGCAGCAAAATGTCCTACACGAAAGGATATTGTGAAGAAAACACAAGAAGCAGCAAAGAAAAAACCTACTAGCAACACACCAACGTATGCAGCAATTGCAAAGATACAAGCTAACACTACAAAATTACTTCAAGCTACTACTCAGCCAGCCTCCACCATCATCACTCCTCCAGCATGTGACGTAACCAAGATCCACTACTGTCTACTATACGCTCACATGCAAAATATGGCTGTACCTGGATCTTTTAACTCTACCATCAACGAGTTATTTGCACTAAATAACATGCCATCATTTATATTCCCAGCATCTCCATCTTCGGAAGATATACTCAAATTTACCAAGGACCTAATCAACACTTCTGCATCAGCAGCTCCAACACCACCAACACCTAGTGACGTCACTCCAGTAACGTCCAATGAGAAGTCTCCATCGCCTCCACTCCTCAATGAACCCGACCAATCAGAAGCCTTTCCACCAGAACCATCTTCCCATTCGTCCATTGCAGATGAAGAAATAAATGTACAAACACCAGCACCAATAATACCATCTCAAGACCCAAGATTCGATACTAGACCAGAACACTATGCCAGATGGTTCAACGTATCTTTCTGTACCACAGCAAATTATCCTCAGGACATGGAGCCAGCTGAACTAAAATCTCACCTCATCAACAAGACAGTCAAGTATGTCGTTGGAGATTCTAAAGAAGCTGAGCTCATTAATCTTTCAACCATTATAGCGAACCTTGACATTTGGTGTAAAACTCCTGAATTTGAACACTCCTTAACTCGCCTCATGATAATTCCTCTCCAACGCTTTAAACATCTTAGAAATGGAACTTGCCTCTCCAAGGAAGCTTTCTTCGTCAAAAAACGCCACAATTCCAAGTAACCACCAAGCCATTATGAAATGACCAATCAACGTCGAGCCCCTCCCTTGTCGCCTGCAGCCACCAATCACCATCAAGAAGCAGAAATCTTCCATCCAGCAAGTTGCAGTCAGCTCCTGCAGAGTTCCTGTTGTCTACATCGTCTTTCATCATCGTCATTCAGGCTTAGCAGTTGGGTTTAGTCCTGACTCTTCTCTCTTCGGTCAAGAGATTCCTCTCCCCGTCTATTCTTCGCACTGTCCCCACTTGCCCCTCGCCCCTTGTGGGTACTTACCTGTGAGTCCTATCGTATCGTATCTGCTTCAGAATCTCCACGACTATGGTGCTCTTCGCACCTACTCCTAGGTTGAGGGACTGATTACCTCATCTTCTGTACATAGTTCTACTGTCTTCAAGTTATGTCCTAGAATTTGTATTGATAAAGCCATTGGATGGCGAAACGTCTACAATAAAGATACCCAGATGTTGCACATGTGTCTTAATCTCAGGTCAGGTGTTACAAAGAGGAGAGAAGCCTAAACCTCCACTGAAGTTGGGAAGAAAGATGAGGGTGAAATTCCCTGGGAGTCCGGACGTGTGCGCCAAGAATAAGTCCATTGTAATCTTTTGGTAACCCTTTCCCCAATAATATTCCCCTATTCTTTTCTATTAGTGGATTGTGTTTAGTTATTATTTGTGTAGAAATGTTAGAGGGTAAACTCTTACAGTTATTGCAACATTCTGTATAATACAAATTTAAGCCTTTCTAATTCTCCTGAAAACGTATTCCCCAAATTTTCCCCATATACGTCTAAGTTGTATCTCTCTATTATGCATCGGTTGGAGCAGAGAACAGCTGAGTAATAAGACGTGGGGAGTGGAACCAGTGCACGTGATTAACACAGACATTGTAATTACTCAGGTTAATTGCTCAAATCACATTTGGCTAAACTGGTTGACTTAGGGAGCGCACCGAGCACCAATTGGCAAGAGCTCCTGGCCATACATTCGCTGTAATAATTATTTTCCATTCCTTATCTTTACTTTTTTACCCCTGTAACTTATTCCCTAGCAATTTATACACCTTGTCTCATCTTTCACCTTTTCCGCTCTCCAATACCTGCCTCGACTGAGCTCTAGTAGCCACTTGTCTGACTCCTGGTGCAGTTTGTCCAAGTCATCTTATAGTTCGTCTCCGTCCTCTAGTGTTCTTGTATCACACAGTTTCAGGTCATCAGGAAACAACGATCCACAAGGAATAATCTCCGGCACATCGTTACCATTGATTTAGGGAAAGTAAATACCCGATCCTTGGAGGACCCTACTAGTTACTCTCACCCATTAACTTCCTATCCATTAAATACTCACTGATTTCAATAATTTATCCTCACACCCTGTGTGTGTGTGTGTGTATGTGTGTGTGTGTGTGTGTGTGTGATAGTGACTGATGAACAAAGTAATAATATTAGCGATATTACCATTGATGGTTCTAAGAACATCAGGCGCCGCTCTCTCACCGTCGTTGTCGTGAAGGCCACGGGTGGGGGCGTGAGTGTGGGCGTGGGCGGCCGTGGTCGTTGTGGGCGGGGGAGACATACTGGAAGTCACATCTTCAGTATTCCCTCTGTTGCCCCAGCATCTGCATCTGAGAGAGATGAATTGATAAAGTCCCTGGTATCCGAACTTCACAATAAAATGCCATAACCCGCATTCTTTACATATTCTCATAATACTCTTCCATCGTAATTTCACGAGAGACAGAATGAATAAGGTAATACCTAGTTGGTATTACCTTGAGCCTGGAGAGGACGTACCTGTTGGACCTGGTGCGGGTGAGAACAACAGCCAGCAGCAGCAGCAGCAGGAAGCCACCCACCAGACCCAGGAACACACCCACCAGCGGTGACAGGGTCGCTCCACTTGCTTCACCCATCCTCTTCTCTGCCACCTACACACACACACACACAACGTTAGTAACCACACAGTAAAACCCATCATGGCGCAACAGTCAAATAATGTAATACAGTATCAATGTGATAAACAATGTATTGAAGTAAATATGAGTAACAATGTACTGATGTAACAATGTAATTATTAATAATGCAAAATAGGAACACTGTTGCGTACAAATGTGATACAAACTAAATACCCTTCACCAGGACAATCAAATAACAATATAATCTTATGTCTCACTACAGAACTACTGTATGAAATTATTCTAACCAAATATCACTCCCTCCCCCCCCCCCACACAGCCTAACAAAATATTAACGTGCCTTCAACGGAGTTCATCACACACTGCCAGTTTGTAAATAGTTTACAAGTATTATTAAAGTGGCTCTCAGAAACCACCAAAATACACAGGTAATTAACCACTTGAAAAGTTACAACGCTCATACAGGTACCAACGTTAGTGTCCCTCAGGTACCAAAGATACATCATCTCAGGTACCAACTGTACAACACAACATGCACAGGTACCAACGGTACAACGATATTCATGGACACCAACGGTACAATATTCACACAGGTATCACCGTTACGGCACAGCATTCACACAGGTACCGATGTCACAAAACTATATACAAGTATTCTCAAAATATTTACTAAAAGCCTTAAAACTCGCAATTGCAATTTTGCCAAGTTCGATCTCTATGATGGATGACCTTCATCTATATGTGTATGTGAAAAGAATAAGCCAAAATCTGTGCGATAAGAGGTGACCAAAGTATTTAAAAGAGAAAACAAAAACCTATGTGAATGGAAGAACCCAAATTCGATGTGAAAGGAAGCAAGCAAAGTCTGGGAATAATCAAGCCGAGGAAACCATGAGTATAATAGTTGGAAATTCAACTGGAAAACTCATCAGGCCAAATGGGGTGATCCTGAACACGCCACGGCCTTAATGTCCACCCAGAGGCCACTAGAAATGGTCAATAAAGGTAAATAATACTAGGAAACGAGGGAGCGGCACGGGAAAGACTGATTACACTTCGGGGGTGCGGATGAAACACGAGTGAGAACTCTCTGGGAGTGTAACTAAAAAGACAAAACACTGAGCCAATGTTAAGGAAGATTAAGGCGTAATAGGTGTGTGCCTGAACCCTGGCTAACACAGAAAATAGAGAAACTACGTGATTAAATTTACATTCCCATGTGTTAGGGTGTAATGCAGACAAAACAAATTAGGTGGAGACAAACTGCTAATGGTTTTATTATACCACATATCCGTTTGTAAAAGTACACAAACCATTAAAAAATTTAATTGAATTTCCATTGAAATTAAAGACTGAACGTTAATGGAAGTCTATAACTGCAATGAAGTAGAATTAACGGGAGATTTCAGTCGGTCCGTAATTAAATTTGGGGCGAACATAATACTAGCTCAGAATGTCAACTACACGCAAACCGATGCAACATACACTGGATTAGTGCACTAATGCAATGCGTACAGCCACTGCACACTACAGCGTTTAGCTCTTGTTTGTGACTAACAACCAATTCTCAAGCTAGCAGGTTAGCGACGTTATCCACTGTACCATGCCGGCCTAACAAGATTCACCCAACTAAATGTATTTCTAAACACTATGAAGGTTAACATGGGCCACACACTGACCACAAAAGCGGGCTTTTACAGACGAATCTCACACGAGCATGGCTGTGGCAAGTCGTTATAAACTCACGAATTCGTAATGACATGATTGTAAAAAAAATCACCGGAGCCAATCAACGTTGGGCAGGGCAATGTCAAGATGCAAAACATAGGCGTTGTTAGTATTGTTCGTACGGCAGCCATTTGTATTCGTTGACTCGCGTGGATTACTACAGCAGAGGGCCTGGGCATGACCTCAGCTGCCAATGATAGGTATCCCCTGTTAACACAACAGAATACTGAAAGTAGAGACAAAAACACCAATACCGTACAGATGTACTTGACATCATCATTAAGAACAAATTTATTATAATTGCGTCTTCCGCCTCCTACCCTTCCTCCAAATCATCGCCTCCCCTCGATCCTTTTATTATTTCTCTTCCAACTTCTCTTGGTCTACTCCCTGCAACTCTTAATCCATATTTACTTCATTTTCCTTTAACTCCTCTACCTTTACCTTCGTCTCAACCACCACCTTCCACCTTATCCTCTCCATCGCCTCTCCCTTCCTCAGTTTTAAGAGCGGCTCGAGGAGAGGGTACACGCCAGTATCTCAAACCATAAACATGGTCATCGTCTTGTAAACACATTGTTGACCAAAGGAAATGTGGAAGAGTTTTTTTTTTCATGAGCCTTGTTTACTTGTAAGACGCTACATTCACAAGGATGAGTTCTTAAGGTCAAGGATACAGCGTAATCTACCAGATGATGATGAGCCTGGATAACATCTGACCCCCCTCTACAACACCAAGGATACCGAGTGATCCACCAGACCAGTCTGGATAATACTTGACGCAGTCTACAACACCAAGGATACCGAGTGATCTACCAGACGAGTCTGGATAATACTTGACGCAGTCTACAACACCAAGGATACAGAATGATTTACCAGATAATGAACCTGGACAACACGTGGCCCGGTCTACGTATAAAATCGATAAATCCATCACTGCCGTATCACCCCCAAACACGTGAACACCTTGAAGAGCACTGACAGCAGAACACACAGACTAGCTAGTACCAAGCAATGAACCACTTGCTCGCTCACCGCGTCCGCCCGCAAGCCTACACAACCGCGACATTCCATCACAACAAATTCCACTAGGTTAGACATGGCATGAAATGACAAACATGAAATTAAATACATACGTATTGGGATATTTTAACGAAGTAACGTTTCGCCACGAATGACTTCAATCTTGAAGCCGTTAACGGCGAAACGTTTCCCCATTAAAATATCCAAATATTGTGTGTGCTATTTCACAGGAATTATTCATAAAAAATACTCATACTTACCGCACAAACACGTATGGGGACACCTTGTATGTGTGAGTGTATGAGTGCTGGGAAGAGTGTCGTATGTATTATATATGTTCATGTTGACGTAAAATGTAAACCTGATACACAAACCCATTATCAAGCAAAAATCAGACGTGGTTGGGTCACTTACCTTATCTCCCTCCTCCTCCCATACCCCCTTTACCCATTTCCTTCCTCCTTGTTCCTCCCTTTTTTCTTGGGATCTTTCTTGTCACTGAGAATCACAGGATATGGGATATGATGTAATGAGAGAGAGAGAGAGGGGGGGGGGACGAGGACACAGAGGGGAGGTAAGAAAATTACAATAATTGAGAAGCGATAAACCTATAGGCATAATACAGTACTTGAGGAACGAGAGGTAATCAAGTGTTTCAAGGGGAGAGTAGCTCCGACATCCTGGATCAAGAGATCTTCACCAGCATCAAGATACAGCTTACTGAAGGCTACTGAGCAGCAAGTACTCTCAGACGCAAAGATAAAAGACAAACCTCGCCCTTGACATTGACGATCACATTAATGACCCACACCATTAACGGGATCACACGTGTGGCGAGCTTACAACGCCTAGTTTCCACTACTCCATGATATTACCCAAAATCCTCTTCACAGTTCGCTGGAAATTGAGTATTGCCAATGTAATTAACATCGGCCTTTGGTGTCTCTATTTTTTGGTTGTTCTATTGTGCGTTTTAAAAATTTACACCGAGGCTGATTTATCAGTTATTTTAGGGGTATTCAATAAAATACCCTATTTTCTCCACCAAGAAATATACTAAAAGAAAAATTCCCTTTCCGCCACTCAAAAACATCGTAACAAAAGAATCATCGTCCCTTAACTAAAACCAGGCATTATTAAAAAACTTCCCCCTAAAAAAAGGAATTTCCATAACAATAAATCCCCTCCCCCCCCACCAAAAAGCCATTAAAAAGAATGCCCCCAAGACTAACAAACTGCAATATTTACACATACGCAACAAACTCACGTTGATAACATCAAAAATAGGCATAAAACAAACTAGCCTTGAGGCGGACTGCATCAATCTCCTCCGGGAGGCTGGCGCCCTTAGCGTTGACGGCGGTGATAGTGATGAGGTAGTCCTGGCCAGGGGTGAGTCCTCCTACGTGGAACCTTGGAGCGTCCTCCTGCAGGGTGGCCACCAGGGTGTGGGTGGGCGAGGCGTATACCCTTGCAACAAACCTCTGTGGCAGCCCACCGTCACTACCAGGGGTACACCCAACCTCCAGGCTTCCCACTGTCAAGTTCACCAACACGCAGTTCCCAACGGGCTCGGGGGGACCTGATGGTAGTAAGCCGCATTAGTTTGCTATGTTTAAGGTCTATCGATTGCACGAGGACAATTAAAGCAGCATTTCACGTGAATACTAACATCAAAAATTTTGCTCCCTTCTTACACCCTCCCCCCTTCTTCCTGACTTCTCTTCAGGTCTTGTCTTTTTTTTTTCCTCTCTCGCTCAGTGGTGGTTTGACAATGGTCAAGGACGGACTAAAACGTCATGTTTCTTAAGTGAAGTTTTTGTGAAATGTGAACTAAATATAAGCACTGCAATAAATTATCAATGCATAGCCCTAATCTTATTAGATGTTCTATCATATTTTTAAAGTTACTACTATGACCAAGTCACTCATATTAGATAAATCATAATTACAAGGGAAGTAAAACTATTCAAAATTCACAATGCGTAATCCATGTCCATAAAACGTTCCACGTTATCGGTCAGGAGCGTTAGCAAATTAAGACGACCAGGAAAACGAAAAAAAAAGTTACTCAAGTCAAAGGATAGAAGGGAGGTGGGGGATGTTAACCTGCGCACTCCTCGCCACCCCGGTAAGGAAACCCAACAACAAAAAATAAAACTGACACGGAGCCTTTTGGGGTCCCAAGTGACAGTCTAGGCCTTCCTCGTCATAACGTCGACCCTGATGTCAATGCATAACTGAAGCTTAACTGTGATCTCTCTTTCCATATTACATCGTGTTCATCAGATGGTACAAGGTTGGCCTTGCAGGAAGCACAACACTCATTCCCACATCATCATACCTATCAAATAAAAAAAAAAAGTTAACTTACCTGCCTCTACAATGGTGAACTTGCAGGGGTCCGCCTGCGTGCCCACCTCATTGGTAGCCCAACACGACAGAGTCCCATAGTCCCGTCCTGACCTGTGGGAACAGCTCTTTAAGCTAAGTACATTTCGGCTAAACAGCCGACTTTATCAGTCTCTGAGGCATGAGGATGGAGACTCGTGTACAGGCGCCAGAAGTGAGGTGGTAGCAGTTTAAGGCATCATGTGGGCAGTGCCCACTAGTGGAAGTATGCCAAGGCTCAATTATGGAGAGCTAGAGGTTAGCAACAGCGTTGTATAAGATATACTCTCTGTCGCCTGTGTCCCGACCTCCTGTGGCATATCCGTGGTCAATCTTTTGGACCTGACTTGCTTCCATTAGTAGCAGTAGCAACTATGGCACTGACGGAAGCCTCTGTGTAAGTCACTCAACGCTGGTAGACAAAAATACACCACACACAAAGGATGAAATAGACAAACACTGAACACAAATAATTGCTAGCAAATTAATTTTCACTAGTAGGCCCCGTACACAAGTGATAATATATTCAACTGCTACACTTCTCTGGTTCCAGTTTATACAAGTCTCCATCCTTATACCCTTCTGTGCAAATGAATGTTTGCCCTATAAAGATACCAAGGTATTTCACGTGTCTTATTCAATGAGTTGTACTTAGCTCTAGGATCCATACTTAGCCAGACGGATCTAAACTTAGATTCATGAGGATTTTTGTTACTTGCCTAGCATGAGCCAGTAGACCTACTGTAGTGCTCCTCTTATTTTCTTGTGGAGTACATCTACTAATACTAAAAAAATAAAATAAAACTACTACTACTACTAATAATAATGTTTAAGTTAATAAAAATTAAATTAAACAATAAAATCGCGATAATAATAGTTATAATATTAATAATCAACGATACCATACAACAGGCGGGGTTAGAACCCGCTGATCCGGGTTCTAACCCCGCCCGTGGTATGGTTTGTTTGCAATCGTGTCATTACGATTTCGTGAGTCAATCAACGATACAGTAGAGTACCATTTGGTGCATAGCTGTTGGAGTGTAGTTAATTACATAGCAGTTTTCCGAGGAGCTCTGAATGGACCCTTCCCATGAAAGCACGAACTTCTCAATCTACTAATATATAAAGCCAAAGTTTTAGCTCCGAGTAATGGCCAACTTCTTCAACCACCAGAGTAATTCACACGTCTAATTAGCAACATATTGCCAAGACAGGGCCAGGCTAAGATACAGCCAAGACGGGGCTAGGCTAAGATACAACCAAAACGGGGCCAGGCTAAGATACAGCAAAGACTGGGTTAGGTTAAGATACAGCTATGGTAAGATATGTTAGCACTGCAGCTCCAGGGGGCTAGTTCAAATATAGCTGAGCGTTCACATAATAATTTTAAGATTACACAAAGTTGCTAGGCTCCATTACCATTTTTTACAAGATTACATTAAACAGCTAGGCTGCTTTCGATACATAAATTATTGAGTCAGAATTTCCCCCCCCCCAAAAAAAAAAAAAAAAAAAAACAAAGAAAAAAATATTTCACCATTTCCCTGGGGAAAAGTCTCTTCAGGTGATTCCAGACCAACTGACTTAGATCAAATAAGCATATAAAATAAGGATGCAATACATTTTAATGCTTCATCCCTTCCTCCTCCTCTTAGCCTGGGGTATAATTTACCAACACGAGGCGATTATACTGTTCTTACAATTTAAAGCCTTTACATAGGAGTATTTCTTTAATACTTCCCTCATCTCGAGGCTATAATATACTTAAAGTATATGTCTGGTGTTGTTATTATATTTGAGGGATTATTATTATTATTGATTTAGCTATAACAGTGGCTTATATAATAATGATTTCCAAAAAGCACCAAACGCGCATTAAACATGCTTCTGTCTGTTTATTTAAAACGTACCTTTTCTGTGAATCAGGAAGCTACATTGTCCTGATTATAAAAAAAAAAAAGTTTGTCCAGAGACCCGGTGAAGGACTAGAGCAAGGGTGTTAAAATTCATTCCTTGTTCCTTCCACTCTCCCCCCTTCTCTCTTTCAACCCTCCCTCCCTCTCTCCTCCTCTCTTCTCTCACCTCGGGGTATAATCGAGTACGCTGAGCCCTGGGAGGACGCTGAAGCCTTCTTGCTCAACCTCGACTGTGTCGAGTGTGTTGTTGAAGACCCAGGTGAAGGTGAGGTCATCGTCAGGTTGTGCGTCCACCTTGCAAGAGAGGCGGGTGTTCTCCCCCTCTGCCACCGCAACTGTCTGCGCCTCCTCCACACATACTGGCAAATCTGTCACAAGAGGGACCAGATTACTCAATCAAAGGTTACGAAGTTTTACAATCTAGAGCCCTGGGACCAATAGGTTATTCATATTCAGGACTCTTGCCAATAAAAGGAACGCGAACCCACTCCCCCTCCCCAACACACCCAAATCTCCAAGTGTCCCAGAGATAAGGGGTATGAGCTATGATAAGATTGAAGGAAGTAAACCTGATGACATTAGAGGTCAGGACTAATGAAGATATGATCACAACGAACAAGATACTCAAGAGATACTATTGGGGAAAACAGGGCTAGGCTGTTTATAAGTGGCAGAAAATAGGCATTTCTTCAGTCTCATGAGTGGCCAGGAAGTGGAATACCTTGTGGAACGAAATGAAGGCAGGATCTATACATATATTTAAGACTAGAACTTACGAAGCCAAGAGTGTACCTAGTAACGGCTAGTATACGGGGCAGGGCTAGATGAGACGATACTCGACTTCTGCAACCAAAAATGAGGAGAGTACTTACTCGTTACTTAAAATTAATCCCCTCCCCCCAAAAAAAAGATACCACCAAGCATACAATAAAACATGCTCATCCAGGTTCAAGGTTAGAAGTGTTGGGCATTTGGAGGTCTTCTGCATACTACTGTTTAACGTGTAGTTATTTGAGCTCCTGTCGCCTTCCTGTCAGCTTGAACCAGTCAGGCCATTCTCCTCCGACCTCTCATTATCTAGAAATTTTCGCCCACAGAACTGCCGCTCACTGAAGTTTTGTATTTTTCACACCATTCTCTGTAAACCCTAGAAACTGCTGTGTGAAAATATCAGATCAGCAGTTTTTGATACACTCAAACCTCCCCGTCTGTCACCAACAATCATTCCACGATCAAAGTCACTTAGATCACATTTCTTCCAAATTCTGTTTAGTCTGAATAACAACTGAACCTCTTTACCATATCTACATGCTTTTAGGCACTGATGTGCTGCCATGTAATTGGTTGACGAGATATTTGCATTAAAGAGCAGGTGTACAGACGTACCTATAAAACTGGCCACTGAGTGCATATATGAAACAGTTTTAAGTTATGCAATATTAAAAGTTAAATTATCCAGAAAAGTTTGGGTGAGCTGAGAAAAAATTGGAGAGTTCCAGAAAAAGAGAAATACAAAATGGGAGATGTCGTCTAAGGAGAAGAGAATCTGAAGCGTCTCGAATAAGATAAAAGGAGAAGAGAATCTGAAGCGTCTCGAATAAGATAAGGGTGTCGGGTTTTCTTTAAACATTTGCTAGGAAGTTTAGGATAAATATGATAAGTGTATGAAAGGTGGTTTCTGCCTCGGTGCTACCCAAAGGGGGATTCCACTACCTGCTGGAGGAGGACACTCGTACTTACATCTGATACTAAGGTGGAGTGTGTTGCTGGTGGTGGTAGCCTGGGTGTTGGTGGCGGAGCAGGTGTAGTCACCAGCTGAGGTTCGACGCACCATCTGCAGGACTAAGTTCCTCTCAGATACCAGCACCCCGCCCTTACGGTCGTTGTTCACTCGAACACCCTGCCAAGACAATATATCTGTACATACCTGGAGTCTACCTGGAGGGTATTCCGGGGATCGTATATTCCTTCATCTAAGTCCACATTTGCATCACTAGGTAGCTTCTCTGATTGAAGGTCATCCTTTTCTTTACTTCTTTCACCTTCCTATATCCATCCATCTCCCTCCGCTCCATTCCAATCATTTCTATTTCCTTCCCATCTCTCTTACTTTTTTTCTCTTAATCCCTCGCTCCCTGCTTCTCTTCCCCGGCTCCCCAACACCCTCTTCCTTCTCCTCGGTGACTACTCACATCCTTCCTCCAGATGACCTCCCTGGCTGGAGGGTTGGCTCTGACCTCGCACTCGAAGTAGACGTCTTTGCCCTCGGTGATGGGTAGTGACCCCAGGTTGGCCCCCAGCTCAAGCTTCACCAGCGGCGCGACTGACCTCCCCAGGGAGAGAAAGAGAGAGAGACTAGGTCAGGAGGAGTCACCATGGAAACAAGGTTTGGTCACAAAGGTGTTGAGACTGGAAACAGTTTCCAACGACTTCAGATAACCTCTGTACTGAATCAATAAAACAACTGGCTGGCGAAACGTCTTCGGAATAAATATACCCAGGTGTTCCACATATGTGTCTTGGGTAATACAGCGCCATGGGAAGATTAGGCGTTCAGGCTAGATTCCACTTCTTTGGATCAAGAGCCTCACCGTCCTCGATGCCGGTGTGTGTAAACGATTTCAATGTTGAAAATCTGGCTATAAGATCTGATAATAATAATATCTTAATATCTTTTATTTACTACAAGTACATGTACATGGTATACAGGCCTAGCTGACATCAATGATATACTACTATATAGAAAACCCCTTGTTATGCTGAGCATTTCGGGCAAATTAGGTCAGTGTCCCAGGATGCGACCTACACCAGTCGACTAACACCCAGGTACCCATTTTACTGATGAGGAACACAGACAACAGGTGAAAAGAAACACGCCCAATGTTTCTACTCTGGCTGGGAATCGAACCCAGGCCCTCGCCGTGTGAAGTGAGAGCGTTAGCCACCAGAGCCTACTGTGCACAGTCTGAACATTTAAAAAAAATACCACTGTCCATCTGTACAAATGAATTGTGTTAATCATCTATTATTTTTGACTGTATGCAGTGTGAACATGTTACAAAAAAAAAAAAAAACACTGTCCATCACCTGTACAGCTGAATGCAGTATTAATCAAACGTATGTCTATGTATCGTGAGGGTAAATTTTTCCCAACAATTGCCTCCGTATTAAAAAAATTCCACCACTATTTTTTTGGCCCTTAATCTAAATGTGATATATATTCAGTCAGTTGCTAACACCAACAGCCTAACTACTCAGGCCATCAACTACGAGACGTGGTATGGTAGAGAGAATACAGAGCAGGCCTTGATTTCCGTAACATTTAGCTCAGTTTATAGCTTTTTAAAGGCATCACTAGACAAAGCTTCGCACAAAGCCTCTTTGCCAGGAAGCCTGGTGTTGGACCGCGCCGCGGGGGACATTATCCCAGGAATCACTAACAGGGAGACCTTATGGAACAAGACTAACAAAACAAAAAATGCAATTACTGAAATTACCATAAAAATGAACATTTACTAATTAAAGCTCTACATAGACAGTTGGTTCCTACTTAAACACACACAAACTTGTAGATAACCAACATACAAATCTCTATGTATGTCTGTGTACACGCAGAGATGTAACGTGTGTATATTTATACAGTGGGTGTGTACTATGGGGTGCTTCCAAAGATACAATGTGTGGGATTAGCCTGTAAAAGCCTGCATTACTAGTCACAGTGGTGGCCCATGCTAACATTCCTATAACCTATAGAAATATACTTAGATGGATATGTTAACACAATGGCCTGTGAATTTTAGGAGTTGCCTGCCACGGGTTCGAATCCCACTCGTTCTGTGATGTATTTGTAATTATGTTATTACGATTTCGTGAGTCATGTAACGTTTTATCAGTATACATTGGTCTGCTTACACCCGCAGAGACGCACCCAGAGATACAAAAAAAATGAATATGGAAAGAATGTAAGCCTATGCATACCCAGACGTAATGAGTGGACATGGATTTAAATCTGCGCGCATCCAGAGATACAAAAAAAAAAGGAGTACATGGAAAACAAAATTTGTGTAGATGCATGTGTACCTGGAGAGACGTATCGTGGGAGTAGGAGGAAGAAAAGGCATATATCTGGAGGAAAGGTTAGGCTGGTGATTAATGGTGCACAGGTGAGACGTTCAGGGTTCTTCCCTGGATATATCTGCTTGTTCTCCCCCCTTCTGGGAAGGGGAAGGGGAAGGGGAAGGGGAAGGGAGAGAGAGAGAGAGAGAGAGAGAGAGAGAGAGAGAGAGAGAGAGAGAGAGAGAGAGAGAGAGAGAGAGAGAGAGAGAGAGAGAGAGAGAGAGCGCATACACTGAAAAAACTAAGCCAACAGTAGTAATGACAGAGGGAAGCACAAATAACGGAGATAAAGCACAACACAGAAATAATTAACACACGTCAACAAGCTGGAAAATATTACAAAACAAAGAGGAAATGTTGTTCTTTGCTCAACATTACAGAAAAAAAAAACACAATCACTTCCTAGAAGCTACGGACTCTAAACATTTTTGAACACTAAAAAGAAAAATAAAGAGAGGATATGATAACGACGTACAAAATACCCACGGACACAAGCAATAAGATATGGTTGTAAATTACACGTTCAAACGAGCCACTGGAATATTATAAAGTATTTCTTCAACACAAGAATGGAAAAGAAGTGAGATAAGTCAAGCTATGGCAGGAGAACTGAACGCCTCACAATGCTTCAAAAATAAATATGGCGGGTCTCGGCCACGTCAACAGGTCAAAAGTGGGACCAGGAGCTACAGCTTACTCTCTAAAAAGCTCAAATAAGCACGCACAGGTACAGAACAAGCTTTGTGACGTTTCAATGTGTAGAGCTTTATTAAATCAAAGAATAAAGTTCTACATAGGGCGAAACGTTGGTCACAAACACGCTCTCTCCCCGAGCCATTTTCATTAGTCGCCATTTCGATTCTGTACCCACGCATTTACGAACAGGTAATTAGAGTACAATTATTCCTAGATAAACGTTACCTGGATTAACTTTGGGATTTACAACACAAAAATCATCGTGTTATTGGAGTCAACGGGAATTATGTCACTATTACGAAGGAAAATGAACATGCAACATGCCGGAAACATTGCAATGAATCCTATCAGTTTTGACCACTCGATTATTTGTCCAGTCAGTCATTTAGAGGGGGGAGGGAGTGAAGTCAATTATGGAGGAAGAGTTAACTGGGAAGTCAATCATGGAGGAAGTCACATTAGAAAGGAAGAAGCCAGCCAATCAGGAAAAGTCAGTCAAACTGACCTTCAGATAAAGATCAGTCCCTGGAATAAATTTTTGTAGTTAAAAAAAAAAATACAGGACCAAAATTCAGGGCAAAACAAAAATAAATTTGAAAAAATTACGCTTTTAGACTCGAACCAATGAACTCCGACAATGGAGACAAGTGTATGTAAAAGCGGCTAGACTGCCGGGCCGAACCCAAGTCCAAAAAGGAGTGAAACGTCGTTGTCTCCTTTTTTGACTGGGTTGAAGAGTTCTTCGAGCCATTGTATTGTGCCTTTTATTTTCCATTTTAAGTCATTCTAAATTTAACTCCTGTGCCCTCTATTTTCCATTACGGTTGTTCTGAATTTAACTTTTGCTAGGAAGTGTTCAGTCCGTCAGTCTGGATGATAGAGGATCGTGGTGTGAGTCATCCAGATTGATGGACTGAATTCTTCCAAGGAGTGATCAACTATTACTTCGTCTTCTACCGTCTTCAATAGATTTATCAAGGTTGAGGGACTGATCACCTCAAACTACTAAACGTGTTCCACTGTCTCCAGTATTATTCTCCGTATTGGACTGATAAAAGCGACTGGTTGGCTTTTTTCAGTCCAATAGAGATACAAAGTGTTGTGCATGTGACATTTTCATCTCTAACAGCTTTATCAAGCCCTATTTTACAGTGAAGCGTACAGGATTTACTGGCCACCCGACCAATCAATACAGTGAACGACGTTGAAGATACTCACAGAGAACATGAAGGGTGATGGTGGTGGTGAGGCCTGGGTGGGTGGTAGTGGTGATGTTGGGGTTGTGGGCGGTGCAGGTGAGGGCGGCTAGGTGATCTTCAGCACTTGGCACCACCCTCACCCAGGACGATGTCTGGTCACCCACTTGCCGCCACTGACAAATACACCTAGGTTAGTCTTTTTTTTCCTCCCTCTATCTCTATCCTGTTATTCCTTCACCTGCTCCTATCCATCGTTTATTAAATTACACATACTAGGGGGATTTATTAGGTTTAAAGCCTATGTACTACACGAGAATCAGGAACAATTAAACAAGATACAAATCTGGTTTAAACCGTGTATATAACACTGAAAGTTCCACACCTCACGGTGTACATAACCCTATATAGATGCTATCTGATAAACAAAGAATACGGTGTGAACGAACCTATGACCCCCCTCCCCACACTGAGGTCGTGGATGACATTTAACTCGAGAACTAAGGGAGCTATACTGTCGTAGGGGTTCGATAATGGATTTGGAGTAATAACACACGCAGGATGTGTTGGTAGTGTATATTAAATAAGGGAGCGCCAGAGCCTGACCCGTCCTCTCTATATCCCGTTTTTGGACTGAGGTGACCCAGTGCCCAGAAACACGACATTCAAGATTCAAGGAGCTCGTGATGTCACAAGCAGTGACTCACTAGCGGTCAGTGATTCACTAACGGTTTGTAATGGTTACTAGGTATGAGGCACGTACTACTGATACTGATAACTGATACTACTGAGAGCTCGGCGACGCTAACGTATGGCGTCCCGACATACAGCTAATACAAAATAGAGGCGACAGGCGTACGTCTCTGGGCTGATTCTATACAAAGTACACAGCCGTTGAACATTATAATTATACAAAGGATGTTAGTGTAATGCATTACAAATTACGATAATTCACAAAGCATAGTAATTGATAAAATCTAACCGAGAAATTTGACTAAATTCAGTAAACTAGCAAGTCGTCCCGGTGTCTGGGGTCGTAGGCTTAAGTTCACACTAATGCAACACTATCAAACTGAAGTTTACTCTATCGTGAAATCTAGATTATTAAACGCAAGTTTTTGTTTTTAATATTTGTCATAAAGCAATTTTAATGCAGCTAAGCCCACGTGGGTTACCAGCACACGAGCTGGTGAAGGCTCGATCCTCTGGCTGTTAAACGCTAAATCCTGCTGTTACTCTTGAGGGGTAATATGAAATATTGAAAGGTTCTTGATCCAAGGTATTTGAGTTATCCTACCCTTCATCTGATAAAATCTGTTTAAGTCTTCAGGCGCTGTACAACCCTTACGGATTTAGCGCTTTAATAATAGCAATACTACAACTAATAACAAATAACAATAGCAATACTATTAATAATAATAGCAATAATATTAACACTAATAATAATAATTCAGGACTGAGATTTGTAGTTTATTATTAATTAAAAAGATAATTATTTATTTTTAAGCTGTATATTATCGGATTTGCATTAGAAATTAGAGAAATTTCGCAATATCAGGTATATAAATATAATTTATATAAATTTCTGATAATGTACAGATTTTATTATATAGCATGTAAATTTCCAGGAATTGACCCTGAATTACCTGGTACTATAATGTACATGTCTAATCTGAAGTTTACCTGAAGAGGGTTTCGGGGGTCAACGCCTCCGCGGTCCGGTCTGAGAACAGGCCTTTGAACTTTTTTTTTTTGGACGTGATATACAGAAATATGATTGGAGGTTTGTCGTGTGTGGGGCTGCTGAAACACTGGAGGACGAACTAAACTTACCGGAGGACGACCTAAACTTACCAAAGGACGACCTCAACTTGTCTTCGAACTTGGCCCAACTTAGGGTCGGTCGCGGCAGCATGAGGCGAGAGGGGAAGTCAGGGGGTGCCAGAGAATGTCATGAGAAACAAGGGAAGAGGAGGGGAACCAAGGTGAGACAAGGGAGAGACAAGAGGAAATTATTGTTGGTAAGAGGGGTGCAGGCAAGGCGGCCCTCTCCCCTTCCCCACATAAAAACACTTCATGGTATCAATACGTCTAGCTGCTTGTTAGGGGGAGAGAGAGGTCTTCACGCCTACTGTTTGTGGAGTGGTGGTGGTGTTTTGGCATTCACGACGGGGGGCACTAAACCCATAGGGGTCATACAGGGCCTGTGGGAATGGTAGGCATTCAGGCTTGATTAACGGAATTAGAAACAAAGTTCAATTCCTCAGACCAAGTATCCCTCACCAGCATCAAGGAACCTTTCTTGAGTGGGGGTGTAGTGTGGGTGTGGGTGGTGTTTGTGTGGGCAGCGTTGCCTTCACACCCACCACCTGGTGTGATACTCACGGTGGAGGGGAGGGTGGTGGTGTGGGTGGCGTGGGCAGGTGTGAGGGTCCAGACGAGGGCGGCAGCAGGGTAGCCGCCCACAGCCACACACTCCAGCCTGGTCTGCTGGCCAGCCACCAGCGGTGCCTCTGTCGTCTTGATCTCCACCGTCTGGGGCCATACTGGGGAAGACACAGTGCTATAATATCTCTGGGGAAAGCGCTAAACTCGTAGCGGCTATACAGCGCTTGGAGAATGGAAAAAAACATAAGGTTTCATCCAAGGAAGGAGCAGGTAGCTTGATTATTATAATCATGAGGGAGCGCTAAACCCGTAGGATGATACAGCGCATGTGGGGGGGGGGAGGAAGGTATTCAGGCTCAATTCTGGGAACCGGAGCACAGATCCAATTCCCTATATCATCCAATTCCCTATATCACCATCGTCAATTTACCTCCCTTGAGGGGCAGGTAGCTTGAGCTCCCTGTATCAAGAGCCCTTCGTCAGGAGTTCGTCAGCAACTTCTAGAGACATGATTTATTTTTGCTAGTGATACCCATAATTGGTACACCAGTGATTGTTTAACCACCGAATATGAAGGTAATCACCACTAGAAGCAATGCCACCACCAACACCAGTATCAATACTTTCACCACCAACAGCAGCACAAAACACAGCACATAACCTCACTGCACTGACCCCCACAGCACATCACATCATTACACTGCCCCCACAGAACACCTCACTACACTGCCCCCTACAACACATCACCTCACTACACTGCCCCCCACAGTACATCACCTCACTACACTGCCCGCAACAGCACATCACCTCATTACACTGCCCCCACAGAACACCTCACTACTGCCCCCACAGCACATCACCTCACTATATTGCCACCCACAACACATCACCTCACTACACTGCCCCCACAGCACATCACTACACTGCCTCCACAGCATATCACCTCACTACACTGCCCCCACAGAACACCACTACACTGCCCCCACAGAACACCTCACTACACTGCCCCACAGGATATCACCTCACTACACTGCCCCCCGCAGCACATCACCTCACTACACTGCCCCCCGCAGCACATCACCTCACTACACTGCCCCCACAGAACACCTCACTACACTGCCCCCACAGAACACCTCACTACACTGCTCCCAGAACACCTCACTACACTGCCCCCACAGCACAGCACATCACTACACTTCCCCCACAGCACATCACCTCACTACACTGCCCTACAGCACATCACATCACTACACTGCCCCCACAGCACATCAGCTCACTACACTGACCCCCACAGAACATCACCTCACTACACTGCCCCCACAGCACATCACCTCACTACACTGCCCCCACAGAACACCTCACTACACTGCCCCCACAGAACACCTCACTACACTGCCCTCCACAGCACATCACCTCACTACACTGCCCCCACAGACAACCTCACTACACTGCCCCCACAGCACATCACCTCACTACACTGCCCCACAGCACATCACCTCACTACACTGCCCCCACAGCACATCACCTCACTACACTGCCCCCACAGAACACCTCACTACACTGCCCTCCACAGCACATCACCTCACTACACTGCCCCCACAGCACATCACCTCACTACACTGCCCCCACAGCACATCACCTCACTACACTGCCCCCCACAGCACATCACCTCACTACACTGCCCTCCACAGCACATCACCTCACTAAACTGCCCTCCACAGCACATCACCTCACTACACTGCCCCCACAGCACATCACCTCACTACACTGCCCCCACAGCACATCACCTCACTACACTGCCCCCACAGCACATCACCTCACTACACTGCCCCCACAGCACATCACCTCACTACACTGCCCCCACAGCACATCACCTCACTACACTGCCCCCACAGCACATCACCTCACTATACTGCCACCCACAACACATCACCTCACTACACTCCCCCCCACAGCACATCACTACACTGCCTCCACAGCATATCACCTCACTACACTGCCCCCACAGAACACCTCACTTCACTGCCCCCACAGAACACCTCACTACACTGCCCCCACCGAACACCTCACTACACTGCTCCCACAGAACACCTCATTACACTGCCCCCACAGCACAGCACATCACTACACTTCCCCCAGCACATCACCTCACTACACTGCCCCCACAGCACATCACCTCACTACACTGCCCCCACAGCACATCACCTCACTACACTGACCCCCATAGAACATCACCTCACTACACTTCCCCCACAGCACATCACCTCACTACACTGCCCCCACAGAACACCTCACTACACTGCCCCCACAGAACACCTCACTACACTGCCCTCCACAGCACATCACCTCACTACACTGCCCCACAGAACACCTCACTACACTGCCCCCACAGCACATCACCTCACTACACTGCCCCCACAGAACACCTCACTACACTGCCCCCACAGCACATCACCTCACTACACTGCCCCCACAGAACACCTCACTAGACTGCCCTCCACAGCACATCACCTCCACTACACTGCCCCCACAGCACATCACCTCACTACACTGCCCCCACAGCACATCACCTCACTACACTGCCCTCCACAGCACATCACTCACTACACTGCCCCCACAGAACACCTCACTACATTGCCCCCACAGAACACCTCACTATACTGCCCCCACAGAACACCTCACTACATTACCCCCACAGCACATCACCTCACTACACTGCCCCCACAGAACACCTCACTACACTGCCCCCACAGAACACCTCACTACACTGCCCCCACAGAACACCTCACTACACTGCCCCCACAGAACACCTCACTACACTGCCCCCACAGCACATCACCTCACTACACTGCCCCCACAGCACATCACCTCACTACACTGCCCCCACAGAACACCTCACTACACTGCCCCCACAGCACATCACCTCACTACACTGCCCCCACAGCACATCACCTCACTACACTGCCCCCACAGCACATCACCTCACTACACTGCCCCCACAGAACACCTCACTACACTGCCCTCCACAGCACATCACCTCACTACACTGCCCCCACAGCACATCACCTCACTACACTGCCCCCACAGCACATCACCTCACTACACTGCCCCCACAGCCATCACCTCACTACACTGCCCCCACAGCACATCACCTCACTACACTGCCCCCACAGCACATCACCTCACTACACTGCCCCCACAGCACATCACCTCACTACACTGCCCCACAGCACATCACCTCACTACATTGCCCCACAGAACACCTCACTATACTGCCCCCACAGAACACCTCACTACATTGCCCCCACAGCACATCACCTCACTACACTGCCCCCACAGAACACCTCACTACACTGCCCCCACAGAACACCTCACTACACTGCCCCCACAGAACACCTCACTACACTGCCCCACAGAACACTTCACTACACTGCCCCACAGAACACCTCACAACACTGCCCCCACAGAACACCTCACTATACTGCCCCCACAGAACACTCACAACACTGCCCCCACAGAACACCTCACTACACTGCCCCCACAGAACACCTCACTACACTGCCCCCACAGAACACCTCACTACACTGCCCCACAGAACACCTCATTACACTGCCCCCACAGAACACCTCACTACACTGCCCCCACAGAACACCTCACTACACTGCCCCCACAGAACACCTCACTACACTGCCCCACAGAACACCTCACTACACTGCCCCCACAGAACACCTCACAACACTGCCCCCACAGAACACCTCACTACACTGCCCTCCACAGCACATCACCTCACTACACCATTAAATTATTAAAATCAAATCAACAGTAGCATTTAAAAACAGCCATGACCAGTTACCGAAGGGTCCCGGATTAATAAAAAAATTGCATAATTATAACTAAAACAGTATTATACATGACACCAAAATGGCACAAGATATCGTTCACATAAGTTAATTAAGGGAACTAAATTAGTTTACTCCTTGTTCACCTTGGTATTGTCATCACAAGAGTGCACCTACACCCCTCCTGTGTCTACACTTTCAACCTCACTGAAGCTAAATAAACTTAGCTTCAGGTTTAGTGGAATAAACCTATAAATTCCAGAGCAAGCTGTTTTGAAACCCATGATCATCATTAATTATATTAGTCAGGGTGGAGGGGGTAAACCTGGAGGGACCCAAGCAGCGCCTGAGGAATGGGAGGCATCCATGTACGATCCAAGGAAATGGTAGGTCCAGTTTTTTGGATCAAGAGCCACCATCACCAGCATCAAAATGATGAAATTTATGACGAAAAATGACGTTTTCCCGTCTCTCTCTCGCTAACCAACACTCCCCCCCCCCCTGTATAATCCTCCGGGTTTAGCGCTTCCCCTTGATTATAATAATAATAACCAACACTCCATACATCCACAAATAAACTTTACTCACATCAAAAGACGTGACACTGCAAGAATCACCCTCCTCGAGCCTTTGAAAATACACCAGTTGAGAAATACCTCCAGAAAACGACAAATTATACACTGAAAGACAGCGAGCGTCCTTTCCCCGTCATGTCTGACTCACTACTAACCAGTTTACAACCTTCTTCAGACACTTTCTGAACGGGGTTACAAAAACGCTTCAGCAATGCAATTTGACTAATATACCTTTTATTTTTAAAATCTCAGAACTTGCAATGAATGATACTACCTGATTTTATAATCTCATCGCAATTAATTCAGTCTGCTAGGTAGATGGATTGGTGGATTTAAACCCGGATTTGGAGGTGATCAATTTCCAAACCAAATGAACCTGAAAATAGCACCGTCTCAATCAGTAAACTTATATAACCACAAAAATAATGCAAAATAATTTTATATATTGAGCACTCTTCAGCCTCCTTGGTGAACAGTAATAACAACACATGCCACAATATAACACATGCCAAGGCAGCACGGTTCACAGCATGGCACAACACATCACAACACAACGCTGTGCAAACCATCACACTGCAACACAGCACAGCATAACGTCTCGCACCACAATACACCGGAAAAACAGCACAGCACAACACACATCACAGTACACATACCAGCTTAACACTAAGCCCCTACAACACAACATTACAGCGCAACACAAAGCCTCGTACCACAGCACACTACATTACACATCACAGCCTC